AGTCTGTATCGCCGGAACCGCTTGTTGCTTATCGGAGCTCACGGTTTTTGGGTGATTGGTTTAGTTGTTGTTGTTGCTTATGCTGCGTTTGCAAAATTGCAGCACTGCTTGTTGTTGGTGCGTCTTCCATCGAAGCCGGTGGTGGTGGGGTATGGCATTCGTAGCTCCAAGATGTAGGTGTTTGAGTGAGTAGGGCGGGTAACAAGAGCGCGCTCTCTTGCCATCGGCGGTCAGTAGAGCCGGGTTGGGCTTGGTAGACGTTTTTTCTGCTTCGATATCGCGAGTTGAGAAGTAAGTGAAACAATCGTTTCTTTGGTTTACAGAGCTTCTGCGCTCATTCTTTTGATCGCCGATCTTTATTTTGAGCTTGTTACGTGTGGCACCATATAAATGAACTTTGCAGCTCAGAAACACTTCTCACGCACTTGAGTCCGTACTGTAGGGCTTGGCCTAACTATCAGTACGTAGCTTAGAGTTCCGAATTTACTTTTTTTTACCATGAAAAACACTGCAAGAATAAACCCCGCGTAGCGGTCGTCCGTAGGCACGTCTGCACTCGATGAAGGTCGAATGCTGATGGAAAAATTAAATAAATTAAATAACTCAACTTCCAAATAAGGCAAGCTGCCAGATTTTGGATTTTTGCGCAAACATAACCAAACTAAATTGTTCTTGTTAAACCCAATTCTCATTCTTTCTTTAAGGTTAATTCAGTGCAAAAATGCCCACTTTTCAAAAAAAATGTTGTGGCGAAACGACTAAAGTAAGCTTAATGAATTAAATACCATTTAATATCACAACATTTGAAGAATTTTTGATAAATTTTGTATTCAAAAATATTTAGAGGTACAGGAGTTATAGGTAATCTCACGAGTCGCCTCCAAAAAAAGTTGGTTTGCGATGTACATCCTAACTGTCCACAGAATCGTCCGATCTAAAAAAAATATACCTCATTCGGTAAAGGATAAGTGTCCCGAGGTATTCACGAAGCGTTTTTATTTTTAAAATTTTATCCCGATTTTTTTATAAAAATTGGAAGTCAAAACCCCGATTTTTGACTAAAAAATTAAGTTAATTAGGTAAATAAAAAATATAATAAAATTAAAAATTAAAAAAAGCTCGACGTGAGTACCTGTAGAATTACCTAAAGAAGTTATGTTTCAAATTTCAAACCGATTGGTTCAGTAGATTTTCAGTTATCGTGTACACCGATTTTCAAAATGGCATTTTTTAGGAGAGCGCTTTAAACTTTGTGATTCTCATGCATTGAACACCAGACGACCTTCGTTCAACTCTGCATAACTTTGTCAATTCTCATATGATCGATGTAAAACTTGGACATAATATTAAGATATTGAGCCTTTAAAATAAAAAAAAAATTACGAAAAAAAAAATTAAATGCCCCCCCGTTAAGGACAAACCAATATATTTAAAATTGGAGCAGATGACCTAAGGCAGGGAGGGCTGAAGATACACCTCAATAACAACCGAGGATTTTAAACCTAGATATATGTATGTTAGTGAGAGAGAGTAGTCTGTCCGTATGCGTATTGTTGTGACATTTGGTTTCTCTTCCCCCCTTTCGCTTAGTAAGATTGCAACAGGCAAAAACAAAAGGCGGGCAAGATCACCACCTCCTTAGCCGACGAACATAGCCGTGCAAATCATAGTGAATTTTGTAGTTCCACCGAGCCTGAATCGTTACACTTGGCGTGCACTATGTTGTCACACAGCCAACAGGTGATGGTGAGTTCACCATAGGTAATATTTTTCTTACAGTTTTTAGCAAAGCAGGCAAAGTTGTGAGACATCTTAACGACTTACCAATGTACTTCAGTTGATAAAAGAGGGCGCAAGGGATTAAGTGCAGCTGCATTGGAAAAGCGGGAGAGCAATAGTGGGAGAGCATGAGATTAAGCAAATAACTATAACCGTTTCTAGCAGTCGTGACGGCGCGAACAACTACAAACGGACAAGGCACAAGAGGAAATGCAAAAAAAAAAAATCCAAAGCAACCGCAGCAGCCCAAACTAAAATTCTATTTAAAATTAATTTAAAAACAAGAAAGGAAGCTAATTTCGGCACGCCGAAGTTTGTATACCCTTGCAGATTGGTTTTCATTTTTATATTATAAATTATAATGCCGAAAACAGACACTAAACACAGTTTCATAGCATTTTACCTATGCTTATTATGTTTACAGTTTGACAGTTACAGTTATACAGCTGTGTTCACGGAAATAGCAGTGCCCAACGACGTGCACGTTTAAGATCGGAAAATCCTGTTACAAACACTATTTTCATAAATTTTTTTTCATAAAAGCTTAGTATATTTAATTATTAACAATACCACAATCATTTAATTTAGGTAACATAAACCCTTTAGAAGATATAGCTAATAACAACAAAAAAGGTCTATATTATGCCGTTCATTGAAATAGCAGTGAAAAACTAAAATTTTTCATACATTTAAAAATATCGTATAAGAAACCTATTTCTTCTTAAATTCTAATTGACTATGATCTAATATTTTGTTAAATAGCCTTTAGAACCTATCATAGCCTCATACCTGGGTGGCAAGGAGTCCACCAAGTCTTAGCAACGCTTGAGAGGATTATGGTCTCATTCCTCCTGCACAAATCGCCAAAGATGCGGCTTAGAAGTCGGAAACTTCTCTAATACGTAGCCCTTGATGTCCCCCATAAGTTTTCGATCGAAATAATATCCGGGGACTGTGCAGGCCATGGCATTGCATCCACCTTTCCTTTAAGAACCCACTCCTTGGCCACCTTGCTGGTATGATTAGGGTCACATTACTGCTGAAATGTCCAAATTAATGGCATATTTTCATCAGGATACGGCTGCTAGACAGTTTTTTAATATTTAGACATAGACATAATGGTATTTGATCCCACCGATCATATATACGGGACCTACAACGTTGTATGAAAAGTATACCCAAACCATGATTTTTAGGCCACCGTGTTTTACTGTCTTCAGCGTATGGTTTGGGGGGCACTATCTATTTGGAGGTCTTGTCTTGTCCTATTCCACCAAATAAAACCAGTTTGGAGTCATTTGTCCAAAGGATATTACGCCATTTGAATACTGGCAGTTCAAGTGGCTATTGGCGAACTCGGATCTTGCCTTGATATGCCTTTAACCAAGCAGTGACATTTTCCATGGACTTCGCGAATCTAAAATTTATTCAATAAGTCCCCGGCGAATGGTCCCATGACTGATTCCCATGCCAATTCCCGCTCATATATCCCTAGAGGATGCAAAAGGACGAGCTTTGCTGAAGCGAAGTACGCGTCGAGCCTGTACAATTGTGGTTTTGCGAATCGTACCTCGGTTTTTTTGGGTTCGGTTCATATTTTATGACTTATAAACTATTTTAAAAGAACAATTTGAAAGATTTAGAGACTCTTTACATGTTTTGCCCTTCTTTCTAGGCTAAGTAATCTGATACCTTTCTATCATGGAGCAGTGAGGTCCTGCGCCCACTAAAATAATTTTTTTTGCGTTGTAAAGGTGTATTATAGAATAAACTATAATAACGACCTTAATTAAAGTCATTTTTTACAAAATTAAAAGAAATTTCGGCACTTTTTGCGAAAGAAAATTAAAAACTGCTATTTCAGTGATCGGCCAAAACGAGCTGCATATGTGAAAAATATTAATAAAACATAAAAATAGAGCAAATCTAACGGAATTTTTTCTCGATTCTTATCTTTATGTTCCCTTTTACAAAAATTATGTGCAATAGATCAGCTTGCAAAAAGGAATATGTACAAAAAAACGTTTTGAAGTTGTTCCTCTGTCGCACTGCTATTTCAGTGAACACAGCTGTACATTCCCAGCTTTACATTTTCTCTACATTTACGGATCGCTTCTATGGCAGCTATAAGATATAGTCGTCCGATTTTCATAAAATTTATTCAAAAATTCTGAAATAATACCAGAAGCTCATGTCTCAAAGTAGATGAAAAACAACTATCAGTTTCCCGATTGAACCTATGGCAGCTATAAGATATAGTCGTCCGATTTTCATAAAATTAAAATCGAAAATCTGAAATAATATAAAATGGCCATATCTCAAAAATGATGCAAAAATTTTGAAAAACAGCCAAATTAGAATTTTTTTATGAAAATTTATTGAACATTTGTATGGCAGCTATGTATATGATATAGTCGTCCGATCCGGCCCGTTCCGACATATATAGCAGTGAGAATATATAGAAGACTATAAGCAAAGTTTCATTCAGATAGTTTTAAAACTGAGGGACTAATTTGCGTAAAAACCGACAGACGGACGGATAGACGGACGGACAGACGGACATGGCTAGATCGACTCGGCTGTTGATGCTGATCAAGAATATATATACTTTATAGGGTCGGAAAGGTCTCCTTCACTGCGTTGCAAACTTCTGACTGAAATTATAATACCCTGCAAGGGTATACAAACACAAACAGAAAAGCAGCATGCACATGCGAAGTGAACAGGAACTATTAAAAACCCAAAAATGAAAATATTAATAAACAAAAATCGAGAGCGCAACAAAAAAAAAACACGTCCGTTCACTTAGAAGAAAGAAATAGAGATGACTTTTGGCCTATTGAATATATCGACGCATTTTCGCGAAAGTATCGTATGTCGCTTTTTTTCGAAATTGAGATTTTAATGCAAAATTGTTAGGAACCTAATGTCTCACTACCCTGTGAAATATTATAACTGAAACCCCTATAGTTCCGATAAAAATTAAGTTTCAATTTTGTCTTTTCTATAGTGCTTCCTAAGAGATTAAAGCACAAAAAAGCTTCTCCTGTAAAATTGGATTTATCGACATACGATACTTTCGCGAAAATGCGTCGATATGTTTCTGCATGGTATTTAAATATCTCTATACTTGTTAATGTATGCTATATGAAGGCAAAATTTTAAAAACAAAATAATGCACAATATTGGGGCACACATATATAAAACAAACACTCCTTTACCTTGTGTATATTTACAAATCCGGCAGTGGAGTTTATTGCATTGGCTTGAAGGCTGGACATTTTTTTAGTAATGATTATTTCAGGCAAAATTTCCGCAAATGTTTTTTGCTTCTCTCCATTAATTTCAATTGATCCTTCTATAGGTATTATCTTTAGAACAATGTCGACGTTATGTTCGCTATTATTGTTGGAAGAATTGGTGCACCTAAAAACCTCACCGTAAGCACCTTCGCCTACTTTAACTGGGTTCGTCATCCGTGTTGATGGATATGTAGCATGAAATGAAAGCGGCTTGAACTGATCACAATGTTTTAAAACTTCTTGTTGATGATCACAATCAATTTCATTTAAATCAGTAAGACGTACAGACATACGGCCGTTTACTTGAGATCTTGACTGTCTGGCTTTAATGGTTCCCCATTTGTTTATGGTTGGTTCAATCAGTCGAGACGTGCGCAAGCTATTTAATGATTTCCGCCACTTTCCTGGCTGTAAAGCAAAAGGAGGTAAAAGCACTATACTTTTTTCACAACTGATATTAATTTCATGAATATCTCGACCAACATTGTAAGGTAAAATTTCAAATCGAATTTTGTTTTTAACTTCTGATTCCATTTCTTTTTTTTTCTTGGTAGTATTAAATTCAAATCCTTCAAGTTTTATGCCAGTTATAGGAGACAGTCTGCAATTAAATAATTCGGAAGCTAACCGTTTGGTGCATGGAGTTGATATTAAATTGTTCTGATCATAGGTTTTTCTTGAACAATCGGCGGAATCAAAATAATTTTGCTGAGCTTTGGATGAATCTTTTATTTCTATAGCCTTTATACTGGTTTCTACACTTGAGTCAATGTTGAATGATACTCTTACAGCATTTTTAATTATGTTGAGTTCACGTAGTTGCCTGGAGAGGGAAAAATTTGTTAGATATGTATTTACATTTATTATATTTATGTTGTTTTATCTCACGGCCTGATATTTAACAATTTATCAAAAGAGTCTATCCATTCAGTTTGAGAAGCCTCATCCATCATGTCAAACAAAGTTTGTTTTTATTATTGCATTTAAAATTTCTTGGCTTGAAGATAGTTATTTGAATTATAATTTTTTCTGTATGAAAGTATTGGAACCTAGTGATGACAAATTTTTTTGTTTAATTTTCATAATCGAATTAATCGAAAATGTTCTATATAAGCTCTCGAAATAGTTAAGTACAAAGTTTTAATTGGCTTTTAGGAGTCCGAAATGTGGTAATCTGAATTCCAATGGCTGTTTTATTAAAAAAACAATGATATTAAATTTTATTAATTGCATATATCCGATGTCACATAATCAATGAAATACAGCTAGCTCCAAAGTCAAATATCGATGGTAAAGAGACATAAAATTATATATATATGATATAAATCGATAAATAATTTTCGTTTTCCAAATTTTTGAATTTAATGGATTATAATCGATTTACTTGTAAACATTTTTAGAACAAATCGGTTCAGTAAAACTATCAGGCCTGCTCGGAAAATCGTAAAATTTTTTCGTTTTTGTTTTGGAAGAAATCGTTTGTTTTCGTTTTTAGCTGCTCCGGTTTTCGGCATATTTCGGCTATCGTTCTGCTATTGGAATATTTCGTTTTCTCATCGTTTCTTACGGTCAAACAGCTGATTTGTGTATTTGATCAAAAGTAAACAAATTTAAAATATGCCTTTTATATGTTCAATTTCGTGCTTCGAATCCAAGAGGAGGCAGAAATCGCTGCAAATAAGAAATTATAGGCATCTAAGATGCAACATCTTTGGTCGGAGGGCCAATGTCAATCAAGGCGCAGCAAAGTTCAGCCTACTTATTTATTAAAAATGAATTAAACTTAAAACAGCTGTTTTCCACAAGAGCGGGCTGCCACATTATTATTTGGTCAATTTTAACCATTTAAGTAATCAAATTAAATAGAATTATTTATAAACAACATTTTTGGCGCTTCTTTAAAGTCTTTAATTTATTCTTTAATATTTTATAAGTATTTTAAATTGGCTGTTTCGTTCCACCAACAATATGGCAGCCTTATACTGTCTTCCCACACAGCACATTTGTGAGGAACGTTTGGGATTTTTAACAAATGTGAAACTTGTGTTCCCACACAACGTCAAAGCACATTCAACATCCGAACAGCTGATCGTTCAGCTGTGGCTGCCAAATTGGCAGTTGCAAATTTGAAATGGAGCATTTACCAACTATTTTGGCTGTTGTACAACAGCAAAAGGCACAGATTGCGTCAGAATTTATCCGCAATAAATTTAAATGAATTAAATGACAAGGAATTTTAGTTTTTCTAATGATTTTTCTCTAACAAAGAGCAAATTCCCCGAAGAGTGTCTATAGGTGGTATAGGCATCCAAAATCTTTAAAATAAGGTAGAGTTAGGCGGTTTATATTAAATAGTAACAATTGAGGACATATTGGGGCAAGAATATACAGAAAAAACGCCAACTATTTTGGGCATGCTTGTAGCTTTGGCGCCACGTTTTAAATTCCATATCTCATTTGTTCCTCGCCAAGTTTGTTTACATTTTCGTTGTGATGGTCAAATTAAGAAGAAGAATCAGAGTTGCACCGAAAAAGTATCGCCTAACTATCGCCAAACAAACCGTGTTTAGATTTTAATGTTGATCTAACGGCGGTCCATTTGGGAAAATTCGGAACGGCAAAACCTTATGGACCGTTTGTTCAACGGATGTTGAATGTGCTTTAACGTTGTGTGGGAATACCCTATAATGTTGTGTGGGAAGACCCTATTATACTGTTATCCCACACAGCGCATTTGTGAGGAACGGTTGGGATTTTTAAAAAAAGTGAAACTCGTGTTCCCACAGAGCTGCGTTAAAGCGCATCCGCATCGGAACAGCTGATCGATCAGCTGTGGCTCATGGAAACGTAAACAAGAACTGTCGAATTGGCAGTTGCAAATTTGAAATGGAGCATTTACCAATTTATTTTGGCTATTATTCACCCGCACTAAATTTAAATTAATTAAATGACAAGTAATTTTAGTTTTTTTAATGGTTTTTCTCTAACAAAGAGTAAATTCCCCGAAGAGTGTCTATAGGTGGTATAGGCATCCAAAATCTTTAAAATAAGGTAGAGGCAGGCGGTTTATATTAAATAGTAACAATTGGGGACATAATGGGGCAAGAATATACAGAAAAACACCAACTATTTTGGGCATGTTTGTAGCTTTGGCGCCACATTTTAAATTTCATTTTTCAATTGTTCTTCGCCAAGTGTGTATACATTTTTCGTAGTGTTTTTCGGTGCAACACTGATTTCTTCTTCTGCTAAAAACATGCCCAAAATAGTTGTTGGTGTTTTTCTGTATATTCTTGCCCCAATATGTCCCCAATTGTTACTATTTAATATTAAATGGTGCGAGAAAGAATAAAAAATGTAATAAAACTGTCTGTTGACGACTATTTGCCTTTCGATCTGAGTTACAAGTTATATATTTAAAATTATGAAGAATTAATGAACAAATATTTGCGAAAAAGAGATACAGTTAAATTAACTAAACTGATAGAAGCAAAAACAATATTTTGGAAATAGCGCAATTATATTTATTTGCAAGGAAGAAGGCTGGACCTTAAGGTTAATAGTAAAATACGAATAAGGAAGCCGTGGACCATCATGGATAAAATGGGACAGTTCATTTATCGCCATGCCGAACTAGAAAATCTCGATGCACATGGCATATGTTCTTCAACTTCCAGGCATTTTCCAATTTGCTGTCATGAGTCATGTTGGATGGCATAGCGTTCTGATTACCAGCTTTATCCGTGTTCGTTCAGGGATTGTACCACTAGTTCTATTATGTTCTTTCCTGAACGGGTTACTGATTCACCATTTTTTATGGAACCCATATGCAATCATCAGATTTCCATATCCAAGTGTTCCATTTCTGTCATAATGAGGCGACTGGAAACTATGCAAGACATCCGCCGCCGCTAGCACGCTTGGGTGTCGTTGAGAAAAAATAGTATTAAAAAACAAAGCACACGAGTCTTGTTTTCTAATATAGGCTGTTGCCAACAAAGTATGACCGCATCATTGCGCCCCAAAATAACATATGACCTAGTGAAAAGAGCGGTAACACTTCAAAACAATAAATATTTGTCCGATGCAAAACAGTTTTACCCTCTCGAAACAGAGCTAAAAAAAAAAACAAAAAAAAAAAACAAAAAAAAGAGGAAAACCATTTCTATGCATCTGCTGGACAACTCACTCTGAATCTGCTCCATTTGGAACAAGCCACCAAAGCGTCTGACTTCCCTGTCAGCTCCCACAAAGTTTTTGCCGTTATCGCTGCGCAGTCTACGTACTGCTCCGCTACGGCAGACGAAATTCCTGATTGCAATGATGCAGGAATCCGTCGACCGGTCATGCGCCAGCTCCAGATGAATCGCCCTTGTCGTCAAGCACGCGAACAAGACTTCTCTCTGTGACGGGCAACAGTAACCAGCAATAGTCCAATCCTGTATATTTGAATGACCATCCTCCCGCTTCCAATCGATCCTCTGGAAAGGTCCCATTATCGGCGGCATCAGCCGCGTTTGTTGCAACTTGCATTCGATGCCCGACGAGATTACCTCCTTCAGCACTCGTCTCATCTTTGTGACCCAGAATCTCGTCCTGTTCTGAGCAATCGTCGCATCCACGTTTTGATGCTGCATCTGGAGGTGAAACTGTCTTAGAACCATCTCCGAAAGACTGTGCCTGTGTGACAGTACCACAGGCCTTCTTGCACTACACGGCATGCACAACGTGGCATCAACTCTGCCATAAACTCGCAGAACTCCGTGTTCATCCACGTCAGGCGCCAGACCTCGAATCTCGCTCGAGCTGGCGACCTCCTTTCCACGGCCACCAATGCGAACTCACTGGACATCTCCTGGGCATCATTAGATGCATCTGGAACACGCTCAGTTCCCTCTCAGGCGCTGGCCAGCCGCTTGCTGGCTGCTTCAAAAATGCAGCACGGCTTAGCCAACGGGATTCCGGGCTAAGGTCCGCCTTATTCTGCGACCACGTCGCATCATCCGCTGCATTATCAGATGTAGGTACCCATCGCCACTGGGAAACCTTTGACGACTCCAAAATCTCCGCCACTCGCTTGCCAACAAACTGCTTGTACCGGCGATGGGTGCTGCCGATCCATCTCAGCACCGTTTTCGAGTCTGTCCATAACACCGTCTCACTAATGTCCACACTGTGCTCCTCCTGGACAGTGTTCATCAATCATCATCAGCTCCAGCCTTGGGATCGACATCGTTCTCATCGGCGCGCACTTCGTCTTTGCGCACACGAAGCTAGCCAGCATGTTGCCATCCTCGTATCCCAATGGGTCGAACGTTGACATCAGCAGGCTTAAATACTCCCTCTTTGTAGGGACTCGATCTCCACTTAGAACGCTTTTTGACACTCGATGATCCTCGTTGCCATCTCTCCAAAGGAATCGTTAGGAACATCGATCCTCGGGTCGGATCAGCACTTGGTGGAACATCTCCTTGATGTCACCGCATACTTCGACTGCTTCTTCCCTGAAGTGGAAGAGCACGGCTGGCAAGGGCTTGTAGTGCTGAGGCCCCTTGTCCAGCGCCGAACTTAGCGAGGTTCCTCCAACATTGGCGGCAGCAACGAACACAAGCCGGACCTTACCGGGCTTGTTCGGGTTTTCGACACCAAAATGTGGCAAATACCATAGATTGTCGCTCTTCACCGTGACCTCATTCGGCTGCAGCTTCCTCGCATATCCTTTGGATACGTAATCCTTGATGATCCGATCGTATTCCAGCGCCAACTGCCCGTTGCGCTTTAACTTCTTCTCTACGTTGAACCCATCCAAGCTCATTTGCGTCCGCATACGGTCCCTCTTTGGCAAACCGCCTCGTCCTAAGTGGCAATCCCAAATGTCCATGGTCCAGTCCGATGAGCAACTTCGGCACCATGTTGCTGTAGGGCTTCATCGGCAGACGCGCATCCTTATGCACGCCCTGGACATTTCGTCGACATAACGTCTGCATCGGCAGAATCAAACTCGAAACGGCGTACACGTTCCTCAAGGCGTGGCGAGTGGGCTTCCCAGCTCCACTTATCTCAAGGCTCACCACGTTGGTGGGCTCTCTGCTGGCCTTTCCTCCAAACCATTGAATGTTCAGCTGTGTCGATGTTTGCCTTGGACTCCCAGATCCCTCTGTAGCCCGTCGTCGGTCATCGTGACGGAGGATCCTTCATCCAAGAGTCTCCACATGGCGACCAGCTCCGTACAGCGTTACTGGCAGTATACGGAACAAAAGTCGGCCTCCCTCGGCGTCAATGCAGCTTAAATTCCTCTGCACGGGTGCCTCCGCTTCCCTTCTCTCCAGGCTGTTTCTGAGGACAACCGACTGCTGGCTCCTCTCGTGGTCCCTGTAACCACCTCGTGGCGAAGACCTCCTGTCCGGGCTGCGTCTGGAAACTGCTGACTGCTGGTTTCCTCCGTCGTGGCGCCTGAAGCCACTTCTCTGCTCCGGCCATCTTCGCCTCTCGTCCGCGCCATGTAGCAGACGGTGATGCAACTTGTGGCATCCGTTGATCTGGCACTCGCTATGCACATTGCAGGATTTGGTCGTATGACTACTTCGTAAGCATGTGAAGCTGAGCCGATGCCTCCTTACCATGCCTGGTGGCGAAGCTCCGATGAACTCTCTACATCTCGGGTTAGCATGTTGCCCTCCACAGATTGGACAACCTCCATGCCGATCATCCCATTGCTCGCGTCCGTTCTGGTCGACGCTCGCATGCAGAACTCGACGCCTCGGCTCCTTTCCCTCGACGTCCAAAATCATACACACGATGTTTGCGTACTCCTGTAGCCACGCGCTGAAGTGCGCTACAGTCGGAAAGGGCTCGATCGACACAGCGTGCCTTGCCCAATCCACTCGCTTGCTTGTAGGAAACTTCGCCACAAGCTCCTCCATGAAGGTTGGGTTCCCCAGTTGCTGTTCCGCCTTCGCAGACTGCAAGAAGGCCGTGAGGTTACGAAGGAAACGATCCTCGCCAGGTGCTGCTCTGAGATCGGTTGCACCTCTCGCACGTTGTTCAGCTGGCTGCGTGTAAGATGCTGCGGTCGGCCAATTCTAAAACGCAGCACCTCCATCACGGCGCAGAGGTTTCCTGGATGAATCAGCAGTGACTTCACTGTCTCGCTGGCTTCATCCTTCAGCGCCTTCAAAAACCTCTGGTTGTTCTCCAGGTATGTGCAGTTGTATGCTTGGGTCGTCTCCACAAACGCACAGTTACAGATAGGCCACTCCTCGGGCTGCCCTCCAAGTACAGGAAGGTCTCGAAGCCTCCTTCGTCCCATGCTTTTGCCACGTTGTGGATGCTCCCGCACGGTAGCACGAATCCATGCGCAGCACTTGTAGCACACAGTGGCTCCACAAGATGATTGCTAGTCGTTAGCAATGGCGGTCCACTCCAATATGGAGCGTGTAGACCGCACTGCTAGCACCAACACCGCTAGGTGGGACCGGTCCGACCCCGTTAGTCCTGCTCCACTACTCGCTTGGTGCTGATCCCCTCGCGTTGTTGTAGAGGTGGCTTCCCCTCCGTTCAGCCGGGAACTCCTCCTGGGGGGACTGCTGCATCCCAGGTCCAAATATGGCGCTGCCTCAGCGCGCTTTAAAACGGCTGCACCTGTGCCTCCTGACCGCTGGCTGCGGTCTCCTCGACTGAAGCTGCCTGCGTCTCCCGGTCGCTGGCTGCGACTCCGTCCGTACCCAGTTTTTTGACTCTGACTAAAAACATTGGCAATGGTATGCATAAATTATTTGACAAAAAGTTTTTTGTTTAGGTCCCTTAACTTATATTATGACCAGTTTTGTATAAACAGCCAAATAACAGCCAATTACCGAAAAACCTATAATTTTGCAAAGAATGGTGTAAAAATATGAATGCAATTTAAAGTATTAAATAATATGTTTAGCTCAGAATTACGAATTTAAAATAAAAACATTTCTATTATGTTAACGGAAAATATTTTACCATAATTTTCATTAAGGGGGGGGGTAAGGTTAATTCGGTGCAAAAAAGGCCACTTTTCAAAAAATTATTGTGGCGAAACGGCTAAAGTTAGCTTAATGAATTAAATACCATATAATAACACAACATTTGAATAATTTTTGATACATTTTGTATTGAGAAATATTTAGAGGTAGAGGAGTTATAGGGAATCTCCCGAGTCGCCTCCAAAAAAAGTTGTTTTGCGGTGTACATCCTAACAGTCCACACGATCATCCGATCTAAAAAAATTATACCTCATTCGTTGAAGGATAAGTGTCCCGAGGTATTCAGGAAGCGTTTTTTTTTTTTTAGTTTTTTTGTGATTTTTTAGGAAATTTGAAAGTCAAAAACCCGATTTTTGACTAAAAAAAAAACGTTATTTCTTAATTTAAAAATATATAAAAATTAAAAATTAAAAAAAGGCCGACGTGAATACCTGAGGAATTAGTTAAAGAATGTGTGTGCCAAATTTCAAATCGATCGGTCTAGTAGTTTTTTTGTAATCGTGTACACCGATTTGAAAAATTGAATTTCTCAGGAGAGCGCTTTAAACTTTGTGATTCTCATGCATTGAACACCAACCGACTTTCGTTCAACTCCGCATAACCGTCAATTTTACTCTGATCGATGTAAAACTTGGACACAATATTCTTAAGATGTTGAACTTAAAAAATAAAAAATAAAAAAAAATTTACGAAAAAAAAAATTAAATACCTTACCTCCCCCCTTAATGGAGGTGTTACAAAAGGCATCTCAAGTGGAAACGAGGCGTAAGCTAGCATCGATATATATACTTACTTCATTCTATTATCGATCCTTCATATTATCGATTATTTGTCCAGCTCTATTGGATATGCAAATTTATTTATAATCTTATATATATAAATTCTGTTTTTTTTTCTTAATTCAGTGAAAATATTACTCAGCCCTTTTTTAAGTTTCCTTCACATATCTTTTCATGTTTTCGTGCTGTTGTGTTTGTTATGTTTATGAAAATTGCTACTGCGATGCAGGCATACGACAAAAGAAGTGCAAATTATGCGACAGCGTCTTGGAAATGGCGACATTGCGACAAAAGCAATAAACCGTCTATCCTCCGCAGACCCTAAGTATAACAGGTGCAAAGCAGATAGATCATAAAAACAAGTACGATTATATATGTACATACCACAAAGTGCTTACAACGGCAGCTTGTTTTACTGTGTGTGCGACAGTTTAGCTCCTCGGTGTGTGTGTGTGTCTATAGAAAGTGCGCACGTCAGGCGTTGACTAGTAAATTATGTCCAGAATCACATTGACCACGTTAGCGCACAGAGAAGGCATCAACATAACCGACATTAACACCAGTGGGAGCGACAATAGTAAAAACAGCGACAATCGGACGGGCACTTTGACGCATCTTATGGAAGGACATGAGACTCGTGGAGCAACGGGTCCAGGTGAAGGAACTGCGTCTGGGTTTATATCTGATGGAGCGGACCACTTGCGACGCCAAAGCAGTCGTTTGCAGACTTCCCGTTTTGCCTGTCTTAGGAGCTGCGGCAACTTTCTTACATATCTGGTACGACTGCGCAGTACTCCTGACGAACTCGAACAACGTTATAAGTCTAAAGAGATCGATAAAATCTTGGAGAAGGAAAAACATACGTTTCGACGTCAGGTGAGTCACATATACGGCGGATTAGACGTTACCAAGAAGTACCGATACCACCCCTGCAAAATCGGGTTGGGGCTGTTCTACTCTTCTAAAAACAAGAAAGGAAGCTAACTTCGGCATGCCGAAGTTTGTATATCCTTGCAGATTGGTTTTCATATTTATATCATAAATTATAATGCCGAAAACAGACACTAATCAGAGTTTCATATCGTTTTACCTATACTTATTATGTTTACAGTTTGACAGTTACCGTTATACATTCCCAGCTTTACATTTTCTCTACATCTGCGGATCGCTTCTATGGCAACTATATGATATAGTTGCCCGATTTTCATAATATTCTTACCAAAATTCTGAAATAATACTAAAAGCTCATGAAAGTAGATGAAAATACGTTGAAAAACAACGAAGTTATAATTTTTTCTATTACTTTCCCTATCGTTCCTATGGCAGCTATAAGATATAGTCGTCCGATTTTCATAAAATTTTTAACAACATTTTGGATTAATATAAAATGGCTATATCTCAAAAATGATGGAATAATATTGAAAAACAGCCAAGTTATAATTTTTTTCTAAAAATTTATAGAACATTTGTATGGCAGCTATATGATATAGTCACCCGATCCGGCCCGTTCCGACATATGTACACTCCTGCCCACAATTATACGACACCCCGAAAACTTTAGTTTCGACCCTCGTAGGAATGTCGGGAAGCATATTACAACAAATTCAAGTATGCTGAATTAAAGCTTAATGAATTATGCTTAAAATATGATTTTTTTATCTCTGATTGGACCACCCGTTTTTAAATAGCGTTAAAAAAAGCAGAAAAGCCCGATTTTTGCCATGCCTGAAACTGTATCATAGCTATACGACACATGTCAATTTTTTCGATTTACTTAATATTTTATAATTTTAATGGTATATAAAAAATTGTTTAATGATTAATAGAGCCACTTTAAGCCTTGGCAACCTCAAAAAGTCTCTTAGGCATTGAATTAACAAACTTTTTTGGTAAATATTGGTGTAATGGAAACTTTTGACCCAAAATATCACTTTTAAGGGTCTTGACACTCTAAAATTTCTTGTTATTGGCCTAAGCTCGCCTGACTTAAGTAAACTAAATGTTTTAAATTAAATTCAAGCCAGGGGAGCACGGTGGCCAACCCAAAACTCTTATATTGTGATTATTTATGAAGCGCTGGGTCTCTCTAACTTGGTGAATCCTGCATAAAAACATGATATTTTTCCATATGTTGTTCCAAAAATGTTAGAAGACGATCATGAAATACTTTTTTGTATTCTCCACTATTCATCTTGGATCTGGGAAGCACAGATCAAGCGCTTAAGACGCATGAAAGGCTCCCCCAAAACAGCGTTTTGAAAAAATAAGTTTAACCTCATGTAAATCTGTCCAATAGTGTCAAAACCAATCTGGGCCGTCAAGATAAACATTTTTTTCGTCAGAAAAAATTATCTACCTAAAAAATATTGAAAAAAAACTGTATAATCAAAAATAAGTTAAAATGTCATACTGAGGCCAGTGTCTCCAAGACTTTTTCCTAAAAATTTAAGTTGTTCTGTTTTGTAGCTCATTTTTAAGAATGGAGCCGTCTTTAAGACTACTCTGACTACGTACTACGATGATTTCAGTGTCCGCCAGACAGTCATTCGTGACACAGGCTGACTGCAACTAGCGGCAAGTGTGGCGCTCCAAGCAATCGAATAGCTAAATCTAAGAATTATGCGACGTTCATGGCGGTCGGGCAACTTGGGATCCTTCCAGAGCTTTGCTTCACTCCATATTAATCCGAATTTAAAAAAAACTTGGGGTAAAACAACGTATTTGATACATTTTCTGCGATATTTCGCTTACATTAAAGCCAGCATCGTTGTAAGCCCTTATTCTTCCCTTTTTTTCGTCGGATAACAAACATCCACTTGACATTTTATTTCCAAATCATTAAAATGTTACCAGAAACATAAAAAAAATTATTTGAATCCAAATAATTACCTCTAGCCGTTAAAATTGACATGTGTCGTATAGCTATGATACAGTTTCAGGCATGGCAAAAATCGGGCTTTTCTGCTTTTTTTAACGCTATTTAAAAACGGGTGGTCCAATCAGAGATAAAAAAATCATATTTTAAGCAGAATTCATTAAGCTTTAATTCTGCATACTTGAATTTGTTGTAATATGCTTCCCGACTTTCCTACGAGGGTCGAAACTAAAGTTTTCGGGGTGTCGTATAATTGTGGGCAGGAGTGTATATAGCAGTGAAAGTATATAGAAGACTATATGCAAAGATTCATTCAGATAACTTTAAAACTGAGGGACTAATTTGCGTATAAACGGACAGACGGACGGACAGACTTCACTGCGTTGCAAACTTCTGATTGAAATTATAATCCCCTGCAAGGGTATAAAAATGTAGCACGCAGTCTCGGCCTAATGCTATGTTTATATGGACAAAGCAGGTCTAAAATGTAGTAACCTGATGAGTGTGCAGTAATGCAGTATCATTTTAAAATTGCATTCTTAGCACGTCGCAGCAGAATTATGATTTATTAGAAAGAAAACAAGTATCGGCATTGTGTTGGATTTTTACATTATAAATTGCTTAAATTACTTAAGGAATATCGATAGGAATACAAACGCTGACTTGCTAATTTTTGAAAATTTAGTGAATAATTAGGGTAAGGTGGGGTAAAGCCGACAGTGTGGGTAAACCCGACCTCCCTCTGTTTTCGAAAATCGGAAGCACTACGCAAACTAATATTAGTGTTGTCGTGTAGAGCATCGAAAACAATGAAAATGGTGGTATGACAGCATTTTATTAGTCAACATTTAGATGGTCAAACGACAACAAGTTTGTTTTCACAATTTTGACTTTCATTTTTGTGCATAACTAACTGCAGGATATTTCTTAATGTCAAAGTTATCGCATGAAAAGGTAAGTGGATTTAGATTCTTTGAAAAAAGTCCTACAAAGTGCATATAAGTTTGGTTCATTTGTTTTCATAATTTCTTTTTTAATTGCGTTTTTATGAAAAATTACGTGGTGGGGCAAATCCGACCTCTAAATAGTGGGGTAAATCCTGCCGCAAAAAAAGCCAAAAAAAACAACTATCACACCAAAAACAATCAACATCGCAGCCAACCAGACGTTCAACTCGAACGAAAAAACGCCAGCAAGCTATTTGAGCAGCGAATCAGATGATACTGATTAATTATTTTGCTATTTTCATTTTTTTAATTCTATTATCTTTTATTACCATTATATAATATAACATTGATTGATTTATCATTGCAAAACCTATATTTAGGTTATATCTGTACTAAATCAACCAAAAACATAGGCGGTCGGGTTTACCCCATCATTTTTGAACATAGCAAAAATGAACTTTTTCGTAAAACGCTTGTATCTCAAAACTTTTCAAAGGTATGAATAAAATGCTATGCATAGAAAGTTGCGCAGAAGTCTAACCTTTAATTTGGTATATATAACGACTTGATCCGATGTAAAATAAGCATGTTATAGCCAAAACCATTTACTAGGCCGGCTTTACCCCACCTTACCCTATTTTAGGTAATTTTCTCTCCGTCTCAAAATGTATTTTGTATATACATATGTATATATATTTATTTAGTCTTATAGCAAATACTCAGCGTTTGAAAAGCTACGCTACTCCTGTAGTTTTTCGTTTTGCTATCGCTACCGCTCTCACTTTGACGAGAGCCGTAGCAGAAAAACGGCTAAGCTTATGCTCTGCTCTGCTCGTAGTTTTGTCGCTTCAAAAACTATAGCAAAAAAAGAAAAGCAATGCTCTGCGTAGCCGTAAAAAAAAATTGAGAGCGAGATGGGAGCAGAGCAAAAGGAACTTCGTCGTATGCTACGGCTTTCGTGGCTATAAACTCATTTCTTTAGAGACAATTAATTTTAGTTTCATATGCAAACGTTTTTGTTGCATATTTTTCATTTAATATGAAAAAAACAGCCAAGTTACCATTTTTTTTTTTTAATTTACCGAACATTTGTATGGCAGCTATATGATATAGTCGTCCGATCCGGCCCGTTCCGACATATGTAGCAGTGAGAGCATATAGAAGACTATATGCAAAGTTTTATTCAGATAGCTTTAAAACTGAGGGACTAGTTTGCGTAGAAACGGACAGACGGACAGACGGACAGACAGACAGACGGACAGATGGACATGGCTAGATCGACTCGGCTGTTAATGCTGATCAAGAATATATATACTTTATAGGGTCGGAAAGGTCTCCTTCACTGCGTTGCAAACTTCTGACTGAAATTATAATACCCTGCAAAGGAATAAAAAAGCTGACAAAGTTTTGAAAAAAAAAATTTTTGACAAAACTTGGAAAAAAAATTTATTGACAGAAAAAAATGGGGAAAATTTTTGAAAAAAAAAAATTAGACAAAATTAAAAAAATGACAAAATGTCGACAAAATTTTATTAAAAAAATTGTGGACAAAATTTTGAAAAAAAAATGTTTGACATTTTGAAAAAAAAATGTTAAAAAATTTTTGGAAAAAAAAAATTACAAACTTTTGAAAAAAAAAAACAAACCAAATATACATAAATTCAGCTGCAGAAGAGGTGATGATAGAGAAATATGACAATTTTTCAAAAATTCTTCAACAATTAATACAACAAAAAAATTTTTTCTTTCCCCTAGCGTTATTTTTTAGCTATCATCAAAATTTGCTGGCTATTTCTAGCTTTTTTCGAAGTTGGGTTTAGCTTTTTCAAGCCCTGAAGAGTTGGCAACACTGCGTAGCATATGACAAAATTCCCTTTGCTCTGCTCCCATCTCGCTCTCAATTTACTGTTACGTCTACGCAGAGCATCGATTTTCATTTTTTGCAATTGCTATAGCTATAGTTTTTGAAGCGACAAAACTACGAGCAAAGCAGAGCATAGGCTTTGCTGTTCTTCTGCTAAGGCCCTGCTACGGCTGACAATTTAGGGTTATTTTAATATGTTAAGAATTAATATATTAAGAATTATCCGCCACATCAAGAACTCCACGAAACCCACCTTAACAATATAACTTCATTACCAATCCCTTATGCTGCAGTAATAGCATCAATAGTTTCGGAGGAGCAGCCCTCCTAGTACATAATTTAATCTCCCACTCACTAAAAACTGACTTTAAAGCCGTTGGGATCTCAATACAAAAAAAAAAAAAAAAACAAATACAGATCTCATACCCCATATCTCCATTAAAACAATTTAACTTAAAGAAAATGTTTTAGCCCCATCTACCCCACATGCTATCGTCTTTGGCGACTTCAAAAGCTGGGTATTTTGCCTTGAAAACATGATTAAATATAAAAAAGCTAATGCCATATTCAAAAGGTCAATTAGGATTGCTAAAAAAGCCTCTATTGTAAACTTCACCTTCGAAATCCCGCAGAACTCCGATCCTTCAAAAATGTGGACAGACATCAAACGGCTCTGCGGAATCTACTCGTCAAATTATATATAATACATAACTCACTAAAAGCAAAGACAATAGAGTCATCCATACATTTGTTTTGCAAAATGAGGCTACATTTTTGATCGCGTTCTCCCGCTCTCACAAAGTTGAAAGCGTAAAAATCTAAAAATAGAATGCGCTTGCTTGTTTGAGTAAAAACAAGAACACTCAACCGCGTATGTGTGGGTGAAAATTTTACCATATATACACACTTGGCGAGGAACAAATGAAATATGGAATTTAAAATTGGCGCCAAAGCTACAAGCATGCCCAAAATAGTTGTTGGCGTTTTTTTTTTTTGTATATTCTTGCCCCAAAGTGTCCCCAATTGCTACTATTTAATATAAAAGCCTACTTCTTCTTTAATTATAGATTTGGAAAGCCTATACTACCTATACACACTCATCGGGGAATTTGATCTTTGTTAGAGAAATTTCATTAGAGAAACTCAAATTCCTCGTCATCTAATTCATTATAAGTTAGTGCGGATAAAATCTGACGCAATCTGTGCTTTTGCAGTTTTACAACAGCCAAAATAGTTGGTAAATGCTCCTTTTCAATTTTGCAACTGCCAATTCGACAGCCTTTGTTTACGTTTTCATGAGCCACAGCTGATCGATCAGCTGTTCGGATGCAGATACACTTTGATGTGGGAACACGAGTTTCGCATCTGCCGTTCCTCACAGATGCGCTGTGTGGGAAGACCGTACTAGAAATGGATAGCGGAGTAGAGGACATGTTCGCATTAAGCATACAGGAAATTCAGCTTTTCTTTAAAATGTCATTTTGTAGTTGGGACCATGATACAATCTATGATTGTATCATGGTTGGGACCCTATGGAATCCCTATGGAATTCTGGATCTCACAAATGTCAACTATGCCCTTGCTAGCTAAGGTGGCATTAAGTTGCCTGATCACGCCTGCTAGTTCGGTTTCATCTGAACGGTTTGCTTCTGCAAACGTAGTCGAATGACAGACTAGCATGTAACCGAACGATTTTTTTCTAAAATCATTAAAAACAGATTTGTATTAAATAAAACCACTCAATTGTCTATACCATATCCTTCATAATGTTATTATTGTTCTATACCAAGGATAGTGAATAAGAGTTGCTTGAGAGCGGGTTCGATGATTTCTATTCATTTCTATTTTTAAATTAAAAACAGTCTATTATGTCTCAAATAGCTCTTATTTGCTGTTAATGGTTGATAAAATCAAATATAACGATTTTTAGGCTCCAAATTTACACAAATTTTCAGATACAGGAAATCATTATCCAAGTTTTGCTAAACATTAAAAAATATAAAAAAATCGATATATCGATATTTTTTACGATATTTTTAAATATCATCGAGAGATATTTTTTTAACAGCAAATATCATCAATACGTTTTTTTTTAAAAACCAACCACCCTAAGTACTGGTAAAAGCTGTTTTACCGGTAAACCTGCATTTAAATTTTTTTTTGCCTGTAAGACGATTCAGCATTTTCCGTTGGGGATGATTAAGGGGGGACATCTGAGTAACTGGCAAAAAAAAGCCCATTTTCTAGAATTTTTTTGGCCAAATGAAAAAGCCAATCGAAAAGTTTTAAAGTAGGTTTGTTAATGTTAGATGTGAACTACAAAATAAATTTTTTTGTTAATAAATTGAAAACAAAATGGCGGCTGTGCAGCATGTCTTCGTAGGCCCTATTTTTTTGAAAGGGGTCCATGGCCGAAAACCTAACCTAAAATGTTCAATTTTCATGAAAAAAAAACGTCACAAAATTGTTGATAAAAAAAGAAAGTAAGAAAAAAAAAAATCTTACGTACGTCGATAGCCATAGGTATTTTGGATATACTGTCAAAATTTCAGATCGATCGGTTAAGATTTGTTCGAGTTATGTTTTCGGCCAACTCAAAAAAAGTGGTTTTGAGAAAAACGCGTTTAAAGTTTTAAAATCGTATATGATTACATGTGAGGCATCGCCGTAGAATGGAAAATTTCGACACTTAGAAACTTTTGCCGGACTCTATCTTTTGATATGTTATTTTTAAGACCATAAAGTATTTTTTAAGCAAAAAAAAAATTTTTCGATTTTTAAAAAAAGTTACTCAGATGTCCCCCCTTAAACACAAAGTAATATTGACGCCGCACAGTAGCGCCTTTTCTCATTTAGCGTTGCAAAAATCATATCTTTTGAACCAAATAAGGTAATCGAATAATTTAAACGGCATTGGACAGGTAATGGTTGTAAAATATATATATGTACTGCATAAAGTACCACGCCCACAAATACGCCTTTTTAAAGGGTATCAAAGTGAAAAAATAATTTTTTTCAATGAAAACAATTTTTAAAAAATATTTTTTATTTAATTTTTTATGTTTATTTTTATGTATTTGCTCAAATAAAAATAATTTGAAAACTGAAAAAAAATTTTTTTTTAATTCGAAGTGTAACCGCCACGCGCTACAGTTAGTATATTTCTTGAAATGTATGAAATTGTGTTGGTATTTTGGTATATTTTACCCTGAGTTGTTTTGGTTTTTTGCGTTGCATTTCCGCAGACGCAGCTCGACGCAGCCGATGAAAGTTAATTCTGGTCCAGGAAAGATCCACGTAACTTGTAGACATAGTGTAGTCAGTGGCTTTCATTGGCTTCAGAAGTTATAGACTACTTTAGGCAGAAAAAGGTGAAAAAAATGGACACCTGTCAGGTAGCGATTTACCTGTAGAAGCCCAAATCAAAGTGTCGCTTTTTTTAGGTTATTTTATAGTTTATGAATGTATCTATCATTTAAAGTAAAAACCATGACCATTGGTTTTATGGTTTTTTTGTAATATTACCTGAAAGTCACCCAATTTACACATTTTTTTTTGTATGATCCAAAAATCGAAACAAAGTTCAACTTTAAATGCTCATAACTTCTACAAAAAAAATCTTAAAATTGATTTTATTGCAGATTCTGAATCCTTGTTAAATTTCCTGTCGAATAAGTATGGTTAAAATCGTTTTTGCGAACATGACTTTTTTGATTTTTGCAACGCTAATTGTTCGAGAGGCGCTACTGTGCGCCGACGCCTTTTGACCCTCCAGTTTAAACGCTTATGACCGACGTGCGTTGCATTTCCTTTAACTACCACCAAAGAGTATAGATCTATATAGAGGGGACATCTCATACAAAAAAATGTGTCGTATGGCGGGTTCCAGCGGTAGAACCCGCATTTTTACCGTGGAACCCGCAATGCTCGATTCTACTTCGAATGTGGGGCACCCAGAGGGCTGCTTCCCAGTTGGTCTAGTGGCTAAGGCATCCGACTGCCAAACTAAGGTGCATGGGTTCAAACCTGGTTAGACTCTAGATTTTCTTCTTTTTGTTTGTTTCTTTTTTTCTTTAGTCTTTGTTTCTTTAGTTTGAGTTTTTGTTTTGTTTTTATACATATGTGATTGATTGTTTATACAAACAAATCAGGAAAATAACAAAAAAAAAAAAAATGGAAATAAAAATAAATAAAAATTTTAGTGGATGGATAAGTTTTTTCATTATAAATCCTTGTTTTTAATGTTTTTATATTTTGTTTGTTCTTTTGAATGGTTTTTATATAATACAGTATGTTATTTATATATTATATTATGTTATTTACATATATATTATATTATGTTATTTATATGAGTTATTAACGGGATTTAAAGCTATTTTGATTTTAAGAGCCTATTCCCCATTCTCTTAGTGAAAAAACATTTTTGCTTAATAAAAGTTTTAAAGCTTCAGTACTTTTTTAAATAATGTAATAAATAAAATGATATATAAAAAATTTTAGTTTTTAATAAAAAAAAACACTCATTATTGTTGCCGACCAACGCTTTAACCAGCACGACCATAGAACACAATATGCACATGCACAATAACCAATGTGACTTTGAAAAACTTTTAACTCTCGCTCTAGCAAAGCCAAATATGAAATTTCGTCTCAACGAATGTTGTCGCGTTCACGCACACATACACACAAAACCCACTTTTAATTATGCATTGTGTACGTAATAAACGAAATCAAAAGTTACCCTGTGCTATAATTGTTTTCGTCTAGTTTTTTAATATTACAATTCATATTTCCATCATTTTTTCTTATCACTGTGCAATTGCTCCATGCATCAAAAAGCATTTGTATAGGTTACACACACCCAAGGTTTTTAGTTCTTTTATACAGGAACTATAGTTTTCTGTTCGAAATAATTTTGATCAAGTATCATATAATATAAAAAAAAAAATAATATAAAATATTACATTATTACAAATTTTCGATGTTATTTATTAAGAAAGCAATAGCGGCCGATACCGACGTTGTAGATGACTTGTGGGTTAAGTCTTCGAAGAGCAAAGAACTCGATTTATATTTTGTTGTATCAATTTACCCTCTTTGGTTTTAGGTCAAACTGCTCCTCCTAGGCGCTGGGGAATCCGGAAAATCGACATTTCTCAAACAAATGCGTATCATTCATGGCATAAATTTTGAACCGGAGTTGCTACGTGAATATCGACATGTGATATACCAAAATGTTATTAGGGGTGAGTCAGTTATTTGCTAAATTCATAAACGTTTACCTAACTATATTTTTATATGTTTAAGGTATGCAAGTCTTGCTGGACGCTCGGGAAAAGCTCAACATACCGTGGGGAAGCGACGGCCGCGAGCAGGATGCTAATGACGCTAAATTAATGGAATGTTATTCAATAGAGGCGCCTAGATTTATGGAATACGCTCCATTAATACACCGACTGTGGCAAGATCGGGGCATTAGAAGAGCATATGAGAGAAGGCGTGAATTTCAAATTGTAAGTTTTTTTTTGTGCATTAAGATTTATACTTTAAGTTATTTATGTAATTTTTCAGTGCGATTCTGTTAGCTATTTTCTAGACGGCATTGAAAGGCTGGCCAACCCAAATTATGAACCCTCGCACAAAGATATTTTACACTGTCGCAAAGCAACTAAAGGTGTTTATGAATTTTGTGTGAAAATACAGGTGGCTTAATTGGTTTTATGTATACTCAAAAATGGATTCTAATCAGAGCTCATAATTCCAGAACATTCCATTTGTATTTGTTGATGTGGGTGGACAGCGAACTCAGCGACAAAAGTGGACTAGATGTTTTGATACTTCTGTGACGTCGATTATATTTTTGGTATCTAGTTCAGAGTTTGATCAGGTGCTTGCGGAAGACAGGTAAAATTTTACAAAAACATCATCGTAAAACGAGTTCAAATCGCATTTATTACCATTACAGAAAAACAAATCGCTTAGATGAATCAAAGAATATTTTCGATACTATTGTGAACAATAACACATTCAAGGGAATTTCAATTATATTATTTTTGAATAAGACCGATTTGCTTGAACAGAAAGTCGGTAATCCTGAGACTGATATTCGCTGGTATTATCCGCAATTTAATGGAAATTCTCACTCGCTTATGGATGTCCAAAACTTTATATTGCAAATGTTCATGAACGTTCGCCGCACCAGCAGCCCCAGTAGGATCTACCATCATTTTACCACTGCCATTAATACGCGCAATATTAATATTGTGTTTAATTCTGTAAAGGATACGATATTGCAGCGTAATTTAAATGCTCTTATGTTGCAGTAGCGACATTCATAAAATATAACAGCAATTAAAAAAAAAAAAACGTAATATAATATAAATACAAGCAAATAGGACTCAATTTTTTATATATATAATACCGACGAATGTGCCTGATGTCTGGAGAATATATTCAATTTTGAAATGGACCCAATTGTTGATAACTTTTTAAAGATGGTTAAACTATTTAGTAATTTGAATTGAATAAAATTATATTACTACTTTATATATATATATATAACATATATGTTTGTATTTTATTTTTAATGCTCAACTGTATATGTCGCAGTTCTCAGAAGAGTTCGAATCGTGAAAGAGTGAAAGAGAGAGCGAGAGACAATCGAAGAGCAAGAAGTGGTAGGAAGATCAGCTCTGGTTTTACAAACGGTCGTCACTTTGAGTTTGGCTCTAAGCGCGATCGGGACTAACTGTGCTATCGAAATGGCTGACTGTGAAAATACACCATCTCCGTTATCAGATGTGGAATCGGCCCTGCCACTGGAAAATGAAAGTGTTATTGCTATGTTAGAAGCACAAAACAGTGCATTGTTGTTATGGGTCTCAGCAAAGCTATGCAAGGAAGTGCTTCTTAGTGGTTGGCAGCGACCTTGATAAACATCTTTAATGCGGGTCCAAATACAATTCGGCCTTTGTTGATCAAAGATGGACTCTTTTGCATGAGTGCTGCATTCAAGTGGTCCAGTTGTTGGCAGTATAGGTCCGAATTGAGCGTTTGGCCATAGGGGAGCAGCTTAAAGTGGATGATTCCCTTCCAATCCCACCAAACACACAGAAGAACCTTCCTGGCCGTCAATCCAGGCTTGGCCACCGTCTGGACAGCTTCACCGCTTTTCGACCACGACCGTTTGCGCTTCAGGTTGTCGTAAGTGACCCACTTTTTATCGCCAGTCACCATCCGCTTCAAAAACGGGTCGATTTTGTTGCGATTCAGAAGCGATTCGCATGCATCCATACGGTCAAAAACGTTTTTTTTTTTTTTGCGTCAAGTCGTGAGGCACCCGTACAGCGAGCTTCTTTTTGAATCCAAGCTTCTTCAAATGCTTTATAACGATTTGATAACTCATGGCCAGCTCTTAACCGATGTTACGGCTGCTACTATGACGGTCTCTTTCGATAAATTCAGCGATTTTAACGCAATTTTCGACTACACGCCTTCCGGAGCGTGGCGTTTCTTCGACCACCTCTGCACCAGAACGAAAACGTTTAAACCATTGTTGTGCGGTAGAAATAGAAACGGTTAGCGCGTGAAAAGAGCGTTTGCAAAGACTCCTAGCAAAAATATAGCAAGACTTTTTTGACAACCTTATATATGTATATGGATGACATAGTAGTAGCATATTTTAGGGTTTTTGTACTATCCCTTGGAAAAATCACTAACAGAGCAATTTTAAGCTTTTAGGTGGTTGAGGACAATTTTATCGAATCCAAACCAGTATTAGCTAACCCTAAACGTGAGACTGAACTTCACACAGACGCTAGTTCACGTGGCTTTGGAGCTGTCCTTATGCAAAGACAAAATGATGGTAAAACCAATGTAGCTGAGTCTAGGTATCATAGTTTCGAGCTCGAAACCCTAGCGATTATCGATGCATTACGTAGATTTAGAGTGTATTCAGAGCATATGGATTTTAAGATAGTGAGAGATTGTAATTCATTAGTGCAAACGTTGAGTAGGAAAGCCACAAACCCTAAGATAGCGAGATAGTCATTGGAATTGGAAAACTACGACTATTCCATAGTTCAGAGACCTGGTGTTAATATGCCTCATGTTGACGCTTTGAGTAGGCAAGTTCAAATTTTAGATGCACTTAGAGAAAATAGTGATAATACCAGTGATACTAGTGATAGATATATTGACTTGATATTGCAAGCTGAACAAATGCTTGACCCTGAAATAATTAAGATAAGAACAGCCGTAGAGGAAGAAAGTTGTACTTAATTTAAATTACTAGATGGTATTATTTACAAAAAGAATAGTGCCGAATCCTTATGCCTATATGCTCCGTGTTGTATGGAGGAACAAAAATTTGGGCTATCCCATTAGAAAATAGTCCACCTAGCTGCTGAAAAATGTAAAAATGATTTATTATAGATTATTTTATAAAATTTATTTATTATTATTATTTATTTATAAAATTGATTAAACTTTTTCCACTAAATAGCACTAGTACCCGTGAAGAAAAAGACGCACTTAATAGGTATTTTGAGTTCTAGGCCGCCCTAAACGAATTATTTCCGATCTAGGATCTTGCTTTACCTCCCTGGAGTTTTTAACTTTCCTTCATGAACGTGATATAGAGCATATAAAGGTGGTCACATGGGCCCCTCAAGCCAACGGGCAAGTAGAGAGAGTGAATAGGATATAACCCCATTTGTTAGGGAAATTATCTGAACCAATAGATCAAGCAGATTAGTATAAACTGTTAAATAAAGTGGAATTGTCTATCAACAATTCCATTCAAAAACTAGTATGTTATTGTTTGGTGTCATTCAGAAAGTAGATGAATTATCAGAGTATATTGAAGACAAGTTTAGTTTAGAGCAAGATGACTTATAGTATTAGGTTGTTTGGTAATGACATACCGGTTTTTACATTCAAATTTCGCACTCCGCTTGTGAAGTCAAATATAATCATACATGGCAATGTAGTATCTCGTTTGAAAGGTATTGGTATCACCTTTAAAATGATATATAGATTGTTTACATGAGCTTCCACGTTAACAATCGATTGAAGTTCACAATCGCAGAAATTCGGGCAGTTTTGAAAATTTATTTCGCACAGGGAAAAACTGCCGCGAAATCTCGCCGACAGATTATTGCTATCTTAGGAGATAACAAACTTTCGATCCAAATCGCCGAACAGTTGTTTAGGCGATTCCGAAGTGGCAATTTTGATACCGAAACACCCAAGCCTACCTGACGACCAGTGACCGTTGATACGGATAAAATTATGGAAATAGTGGATCGAGATCGTCATGTGACTATTAGAACCATCGCAGAGGAGCTGCAACTAAGCACGGAAACAGTCCATAGGCATTTAAAGTCAAAAAATTTAACAAAAAGCTCGATGTAGGGATGCCTCATAAGTTATCCCAAAAAACCCTTTTCAACCGTGTATCAATCTGCGAATCTTTGTTGCACCGTAACAAATTCGATTCATTTCTGGATCGGTTAGTCACTGGTGATGAAAATGGATCACATATGACAACATAAAGCGTAAAAGATCCTGGTCGAAGCACGGTGAGTCGTCTCAAACGGTGGCAAAGCCAGGACTGACGGCTCAGAAGGTATTGCTGAGTGTATGGTGAGATATCAGAGGAATTATCCATTATGAAGTGTTGCCCTATGGCCAAACCATCAATTCTGACTTCTACTGTGAACAACTGGAGAGATTGAAGATTGCACTTGAACAGAAGCGGCCAGCCATGGTGAATCGTAAGGGCGTTGTGTTCAATCATGACAACGCCAGGCCCCATACATCTTTGGTGTCGCGTCACAAGCTACGGGAGCTTGGTTGGGAAGTGTTAATGCATCCACCTTATAGTCCGGACATTGCCCCAAGCGATTACCATCTGTTTTTGGCCATGCAAAATTTTTTCGATGGACAAAAAATGAGTTCAAGGGAGGATTGTGAAAATCGAATCGCTGAGTTTTTTGCCAGTAGGGACAAGGACTTCTTTAGGAGAGGCATATACAAGTTACCATCAAAATGGCAGAAAATCATCGAAGACAACGGTATATAAAGCACTAAAATCGGACAATGCTAACTATGTTAATATCGTCGTCAAAAATCAATAAAGAAACCGGTATGTCATTACCAAACAACCTGATATATTTACACCGACCTGAGTCAGTCACCTATCGAAATCGAAGGCAAGCCACATGTTTGTACTACAAAACTTGTGTTATTGCGTTAGTTTTTGACAGCTTGTTTAAAATTATTTGAAACAAACAAAAAATTACGAAAATGAACAACGACGAAAACGCGATATAAACATATCAGCAATGGAGCAACATAAAGATGAAGTTCATGGATTTGTGTGGGATGTCTCCAGCAACCTTCGGGGACCTTCAAAATTCAGGGATTGCCTTGAACGCCTTGAGATCCTCTGTGGAATATCGCACTATAGCGAGGTCTCTTGCCGTATCCAGCAAAAGTGTGCAATAAGGAAGTAGAGGGACAACCTTATTACGAATTAGGAAATGCATTAGGCAAGCGGTGGCCGTACATTTCCAATAAATACTTGTATATACATTTTAAATTTTTATTTTAATTGTTTGTTTTATGTTTGTTTCTGTCTTCCTGATGAAGCAGAGTCCGCTTTTTTTCTTCTACCAATTCTTCCAATTGGTCATGACAATTCATTCACTGGCCAGTCTCAAGAATGGACGACTGGCTAAGACATTTTCCGTCCAAGTCCCTAGAAGTGCCCCCAACGACAGCTCTTCTTCTTCACACATTGTGTGACACACAAAATTTTTTATCGGGCATTTTTGAAATTAGATCTTTCGATCGCTGCTGCCAGTCGTGGTCGATAAGCTGACGGGGTTAGGGGGTCTCCCTCGCCCTTGCTTATCAGAACCAACCGTTGCAGCTTCCAAGTGTCTTGGAATTTCCCGCTGGTAATGCACGCGTTATATGTACATATTCAACAGGATTTGGGGTCTGTTCTTCGCCATCGCTATTAGGACTTCTGATGGAATGTTATCGGGCCCTGGGGCCTTCTTCCTTTCTAAGGTTTTTGCCGCTTTCAGTAGCTCGTCCTCTGTGAAGAGCTCGATCTGATTTTTGGCTATCGGTGGAGTAGTTCCCGCTATGCTATTTGTATGGCCGGAAAATAGTGTTTTGACTATATGGTCTATTTGCTCTTCCTCCAATTCAGGTGTTGGGTTTCTTGTTCTTAGCTTCTTTATCACGATTTTATATCCCATCCCACATGGGTCACTGTTGACATCGTTACAGAGGCGGTTTCATATCTCCGTTTTGCTTTTTCGGATGGCAGTATTTAAGTCCTTCTTGGATTTCTTAAATTGGTACTCCTCTTCTGTAAAGATTCCTCTCCGTCTAGCCCTCGTAAGGCGGTGTCTGTTTTTTATATGTACACGCTTCTCTGAGAGCTTTTATCTCATCGGTCCACCAGTACGCTTCTTGTCTTTGTCTGCGAGGATGGCCCATTTTAGGCATTGCAAGCCTGCCTTATGGTTGTCATGTTATATTTAAATAATTAAAAATATTGATATATTGATGTTTTAACGTATTTGTCACATCCCTATTTATTTTACTGGCTCTTAGAGCTGTAAAAACATCACGACATCAAGCCAGATGAAAATTTTTCTCTCCACCTAAAAAATCTTAAAAAGTTGAAATTTCCCCAAAAAAAAAACAGTTTTCCCCCAAAAATTAAAAAAATCTTTTTTTTTTTTTTTTTTTGTTAAATACAAAGAAAAAACATCTTTTTACTTTATTTTAATGTTTTTTTATACATATGCATCGAGAACATACCAATTTAAAAAAAACCCTAAACTTTCCCCCTAAAAAACACCTACATCTAGAGGGAAAACCACTAATAGGGTCTTCCCACACAACGTTAAAGCACATTCACCGTCCGTTGAACAAACGGTCCATAAGGTTTTGCCGTTCCGAATTTTCCCAAATGGGCCGCCGTTAGATTACATTAAAATCTAAACACGGTTTGTTTGGCGATAGTTAGGCGATACTTTTTCGGTGCAACTCTGATTCTTATTCTTAATTTGACCATTCACCACGAAAATGTAAACAAACTTGGCGAGGAACAAATGAGATATGGAATTTAAAACGTGGCGCCAAAGCTACAAGCATGCCCAAAATAGTTGGCGTTTTTTCTGTATATTCTTGCCCCAATATGTCCTCAATTGTTACTATTTAATATAAACCGCCTAACTCTACCTTATTTTAAAGATTTTGGATGCCTATACCACCTATAGACACTCTTCGGGGAATTTGCTCTTTGTTAGAGAAAAATCATTAGAAAAACTAAAATTCCTTGTCATTTAATTCATTTAAATTTATTGCGGATAAATTCTGACGCAATCTGTGCCTTTTGCTGTTGTACAACAGCCAAAATAGTTGGTAAATGTTCCATTTCAAATTTGCAACTGCCAATTCGACAGTCTTTGTTTACGTTTTCATGAGCCACAGCTGATCGATCAGCTGTTCGGATGCGGATGCACTTTAACGCAGCTCTGTGTGAACACGAGTTTCGCATCTGCGAAAAATCCCAAACGTTCCTCACAGATGCGCTGTGTGGGAAGACCGTATAAAGAAATGCCTTAAACGCCATAAAAGGTTCTTGTTCATGGCGTTTCATTGCTTTTCCTTAATTTTTTTGATCACACTGGTTACCGAGCAAAATACATAGCGATTTAATGGTGGAAAAAATAAATCGCGCAGCACAGACACAATCGATATCGATATTACTGTCGAGTAGAGATGTCAAACTACCGGTAATCGCACCATCGGTAGTTACGAGTTTTTTTTGCAAACTATCGATACTATCGCGATAGTACCGACATTAAAAAATTTCTTTAAAAAGGAGATATTCCATTAATAAAATACTCAAAAAAGTTGAGGGTATATATTAATTTAGAGATTTTTAAGAGTAAAGATATAATATAGTAAAAGTCTTAAAATATATATAAATAGTCGGACAGTTTTAATTTCTTGTAATATATATATTTTTCTTCCTGTATTTCATTGTTTGGTTTCAAGCTTAATAATAACAAAAATAAAAAAATAACAAAAGATTCATATTTTATATCTTAAAAAAGAAATAATATTAAAGCGGTCCTTGCACTATTCAAAAATAATGTATGAGATCAGAGTTAACGTTTAACAGTCAGATATCCACAAATTTTTGTTTATAAACAACAGTTTATCAACTATTTTTTGTTTCAAATTGGATCTACGATCGGAAATTATTTCTCCTGCCTTCAAAAACATTCTTTCCGACTCGGTTGACGTCGCTGGAACAAAAAAAAAAAAAAAAAATTATATAGAGGCGATACTACCGCGATTGTTTTCAAACTACCGATAGTGGAAGCTGAATCCAAACCATCGGTACTATCGATAGTACCACCGGTAGTTTGACATCTCTACTGTCGAGATTGTTACAGCTCTACTGGATCTCTATTATTTATTTGGTCGCAATGATAATGTTGTTAACAGGGACAAAGATGTTCCGAGTTGCAAATTTACCGATAGGTATGTATGGATTTGTAATATTACGCTTATTACATTTAGAGCAACATACTGCGCTCACACAATAGTTGCTAGAAGTAAAAAAGGGATATATGTACATACGACATTGTATACATACGTACATATTTATATATGTATGTATGTACATATGTACCTATTTTATATTTTTTTCTACGTCGCAATAAATTTTCAGTACTCTTCTCTGTGATTCAAAAAATCACTTTAGGACAAGCTACATATGTACATATGTATATGTATGCATATGTATACATACCCTTCAGTTCCAGAATTCCTCGCCCGTCCAATTCCTCGCGGTATGTTCGAAAAACAAAAACAAATTACATGGGCCTCGTTCAGCGAAGTTCGAAACAAAATAGCCGAAACAAATTCTACCTACGCTCGGCTACTGCCGAGGGCTTCACGAAGTTCGTTCTTCATATTTGTTATTGTTTTCGATCTACGTTCGGAGTAGCGGTTGCGAGAATTCGTAAATTAGAGAGAGATGGAGATGGAAGGAAGGGAGGAAAGAAAATTGGTGTCAAAAACAAAGAGTATTGCACCGACGTGAGAATGACCTTTTTAAAATAAGTAGAGTTATTTAAAAATATTTAAGATTATATTTAATTAATTTTTACGTATAAAATCGTGTGGGATATGAGCACGTAAGAAAATGTGCTTTAGACATGGCCGAAATGTTCATGTTTGATTATTGGCCCTTTGTGAATCTAATTGCAAGGCATTGCCTTGTCGGCTATACCCTGACACGCGCGAGAATTTTCGGTCTTCGGTTTTGTCTTCTAATTCTCTTTGCATTTTGAGTTGACTGCTGTTGCATTCAGATGTGTTTTGCGTATAGTTGCGTAAAAATGAAATATTATAAGGTAAGTGGAACTTATTTGCATTCAATTATTAATTTTAATTGCAGAATTGACGATTAAAATGGATGCGACTTCAACCTAGACGGTGTGAATGGGATTCAGTACGGATTTACAAAGTTTTTTTATCCAGTTTAAGTTGGTATGTACAGCAATTTACAAAATGATTCAAAAATATGTATGTACTTATGTATTTAATTTACAGATAAAACAAGTTTCTTAAAGGACCCAGCAGCCGGCAAAGGAGACTCGTGACACGCACTTATGTACATACATATGTACATATGTATGTACATATGTACATATGTATACATGTTTAATTTTGGAGAACAATTTAATGCTACCAAAAAAGTGAAGATAAATAAAAACATGCAATCCATAAATAAATAAGGAATAAATTACATCGGATTTTTACTAGGAAGGGGGGGGGGATTTTTCAGGAATTTTCTATAGATTTTCATCTGGGATTCCTGGCGGATTCCGCTAGCGAATCCCGCGGGATTCCGCAATGATTTTCTCGGGATTCCTCGACGATTCCTCTAGCGATTCCCGCAAGATTCTTCGACGGTTCCCCCAGCGATTCCTTGACGAATCGTGCACGATTATCTTTCGAAATTCCCGGTGACTTTCCCTGGCGATTCCTGGCGGATTCTTGGCGAATTTCGAATTCGTGGCTGGGATCACCTTTTGTATGGAAATTCCTCGAAGTTTTTTATGAACGTTCCCTGACGATTCGTCAGGGATCTATTTCGGTTCCGTGAGGAATCGTAGGGGAATCGTTGAGGAACGGAACTGAAGGGTATGTACATATGAACAAATGTATCTGGTAAGGTTCAGTTCCATTCAAGGAACCGAAACATTTCCCTAAGGAATCGTTAGGGAGCGTTCATACAGGTCGGCGACGAATTTTCATACAACGAGTACTCCCAGCCACGAATTCGAAATTCCCCCAAGAATCCCCTGGGAAAGTCCCTGAAATTTTCAAAAAATAATCCTGCAGGAATCGTCGAGGAATCCTAGAGGAAAATATTTAGAAAATTTCTGAAAAATCCCCTTTCCTATAAAAATCCGATGTAATTTATTCCTTATTTATTTATGGATTGCATATTTTTATTTATGTTCCCTTTTTTTTAAACATTACATTTTTCTTCATAAATAAACATATATGAACATACATATCGACGCATTTCGGCGAAAGTATCGTATGTAGCTTTTTTTTCGAAATTGAGATTTTTATGCAAAATTGTTAGGCACCACAGGTTAGTGAGACATTACCTGTGAAATATTATAACTGAAACCCCTATAAAAATTAAGTTTCAATTTTGTCTTTTCTATAGTGCTTCCTAAGAGATTAAATCACAAAAAAGGTCCTGTAAAATTGGATTTTTCGACATACGATACATTCGCGGAAATGCGTCGATATGTTCATAAGTGCGTGTCACGGGCCTCTGCCGGCTGGGCAGGGTACTTTAAGAATTTTTTATCTGTAAATTAAATACATAAGTACATACATATTTTTGAATCATTTTGTAAATTGCTGTACATACCAACTTAAACTGGATAAAAAAAACTTTGTAAATCCGTACTAAATCCCATTCACACCGTCTAGGTTGAAGTCGCATCCATTTTTATCGTCAATTCTGCAATTTAAATTATTAATTGAATGCAAATAACTTCCACTTACCTTATAATATTTAATTTTTACGCAGTTTGAAAAAATACGCAAAACACTTCTGAATGCTACAGCAAATGCAAAGAGAATTATAAGTCAAAACCAAAGACCGAAAATTCTCGCGCGTATAGCCGACAATGCAATGCCTTGTAATTAGATTCACAAAGGGCCCATAATCAAACATGAATATTTCGGATATGTCTAATAGGGTCTTCCCACACACCGTCAAAGCGCATCCACCGTCCGTTGAACAAACGGTCCATAAGGTTTTGCCGTTCCGAATTTTCCCAAATGGACCGGCAGCAAAGCGCTTCTAAATCTAACGACCGTTTGTTGGCAATAGTTAGGCGATAGTTTTTCGGTGCAACTCTGATTTATTATTCTTAACAGTGAAAATTTGACCAACACTACGAAAATGTAAACAACGTTGGAGAGGAACAATTAAAAAATTAAATTTAAAATGTGGCGCCAAAGCTACAAACATGCCCGAAATAGTTGTTGGTGTTTTTCTGTATATTCTTGCCCCAAAATGTCCCCAATTTTTACTATTTATTAGATTTTGGATGCCTATACCACCTAAAGACACTCTTCGGGGAATTTGCTCTTTGTTAGAGAAAAATCATTCGAGAAATTAAAATTCCTTGTCATCTTGTTAATTTAAGTTTAGTGCGAATAAATTCTGACGCAATCTGTGGTTTTGCTGTTGTTAAACAGCCAAAATAGTTAATAAACTATTCATTTTACTCTCACATTGGCCGCTTCTGCCATCATTGTTTACGTTTTCATGAGCCACAGCTGATCGATCAGCTGTAATCGGATGCAGATGCACTTTGACGCAGCTCTGTTGGAACACGAGTTTCGCATCTGCGAAAAACCCCAACCGTTCCTCACAGATGCGTTTAGTGGGAAGACAGTATAAAGTAGATCTTCTTACGTGCTTATATATCACACGGTTTAATACGTAAAAACTAATTAAATATAATCTTAAATATTTTTAAATAATCCAACTTATTTTAGCGCCTCTTGAATAATCGCGTTGCAATAATCGAAAAAGTCATGTTTGCAAAAACGATTTTAACCGTAGTTATTCGACAGAAAATTTCCCTAGGATTCAGAATCTGCAATAAAATTCGTTATTTCAGTGCGAAAGTGCCCTCTTTTTAAAAAAATGTTGTGGTGAAACGGCTAAAGTTAGTTTAACAAATAAATACCATATAATAACACAACATTTGAACAGTTTTTGATACATTTTGTATTGCAAAATATTTAGAGACAGAGGAGTTACAGGGAATCTCCCGGGTCGCCTCCAAAAAAAGTTGGTTTGCGGTGTACATCCTAACAGAATCATCCGATCTACAAAAATTATACCTCATTCGTTAAAGCATAAGTGATCCGAGGTATTCACGTAGCGTTTTTTTTTTAATTTTTCCCCGATTTTTTTTATAAAATTTGAAGTCAAAACACCGATTTTTGACTAAAAAATTAAGTTAATAATAATATATATTCAAATTCAAAATTAAAAAAAGCTCGACGTGAGTACCTGTAGAAGTTATGTTCCAAATTTCAAACCGATTGGTTTAGAATATTTTGAGTTATCAAAACAGATTTACACAGATTTTCAAAATAGCATTTTTCAGGAGAGCGCTTTAAACTTTGTGATTCTCATGCATTGAACACTAACCGACATTCGTTCAACTCTGCATAACTTCGTCAATTTTCCTATGAGCGATGTAAAACTTGGACACAATATTCTTAAGATAACCTTGAACCTTTAATAAAAAAATTAAATACCTTACCCTCCCTTAATAAACTAATAAAGAACCTAAAAGAAACGGCACTTTGGTTTGGGCTGGTACAGGTTAATCGCTACCTTCCAGGTATCAATTTTTTTAAAATTTTTCTGCCTAAAGTGGTCTATAACTTCTGAATCCGATGAAAGCCACCGACTACACTATGTCTATAAGCTACGTGGATCTTTCCTGGACCAGAATTAACTTTCACCGGCTGCGTCGAGCTGCGTCTGCGAAAATTCAACGACATAAACCAAAACTACTCAGGGTTAAATATACTAAAATACCGACACAATTTCATACAATTCAAAAAAGTATACTAACTGTAGCGCGCTTGGTTTTGTGGCGGTTACACTTTGAATTAAAAAAAAAAGACAACATTTTTTTTCAGTTTAAAATAAAAATAAAAAATAAAATAAAATATATTTTTAAAAAATGGTCTTCAATGAAAACAAATTTTTTTTAAATTTATTTTTTTTTACTTTGATACCCTATAAAAAGGCGAATTAGTGGGCGTGGCACATTTTCCAATACATATGTAAATTTTACAACAATTACATGTCAAATGGCGTTTAAATTATTTAGTTATCTTGTTTTGATCAAAAGTTATGATTTTTGCACTATGTACAGTACATATCAAGTGGAACTTGCGACACCAAGCACGTGCTTGTTCTGTTAGCAGTTAGTAGGCGCGAAGGAAATAAATAAAAAAGAATGCGAGGAAACTACTACTGGCGTGCTGCCGGATTCGTTGCATGAATGCGTACTAAGTGGGTTAAGATTAAAGTTTTTAGTTTGGGGAGGCTATCATCATTAGATATTATGGTGTACAAATCACAGTTGTTGCTAAAATGTGTAGGTGTCATTTTATTGGCAGCATACAGCCCCAACGCTTCAAAGCTATCTAATAAGTAACTTTCGTTTAGAATGTTACTATTCAAGTCTCCAACTAGGATAACGTCATCATATAAAGCTGATAATTCGCTAATAGTTTCCATAAGGGGATCAAAGTCTATTGTGCGATTTGGACCATATGTGCAACCAATTAGCACTTTATTGTAGAGAAATTTATTGGCTACTTCTAAAATAATATATTAAATTTTGCTGTCATTGGTAAGTAGGGTAAGTTAAAGGTACGTTTAACATATATAGCGACACCACCAGCATGACCAACACGGTCTGAACGAAACAAAACATAACCCTCACAATCAATCAAAATATTAGACAAATCAGACGTATATCTACTCAGATACACAGATAACATCAACATTAGACTGGACAAAGAGTAACCTGAACTCGTCAATTTGTTTAAATAGGCTCAGTGCATTTATGTGAACTACTTATATACCCCTTTTTTAATTAGATAAAACTCGAGTCTTAGAAACTAATCTGACATAAAATAAGTAGCTAAATTTAAGAGCGAAAGCTCTCCGAAACAGCAGGCTGGTCATCAAGGCACCCATTCGGCTGAAGAGCGGGCGAAGAGGAGAGAGTAAGAGCAGAACGGGATCCACTGTCGTTATCAGCTAATCTCAAAAGCTCATCCATATGTTCAATGCAATGTATATTCTCACTCCCTTTGCATCGGACATGGACAAGTCCACGGCGAGTAAATACGGCATTTAAGACCTTATGCTTTTTTGGTCTCATTGCTTCTTTGTTCTCTCTGAAGTTGCTCGTTTATGAAAATTGGCGCATCAGAATCAAGACCCACGAACTTTAAGCTCGGTTTCGATTTTGATTCACGCCGATAAGCTGCAGTTGATCGTAGCAGCATGACTTTCTCACGCGCATTTTCCATTTTTATGATGATGATCAGGTCCACATTACTTTTCTGCGACTTACGGGCCCGGAAAATGTCCCGAACTCGATGCGGAAGAGTGATGTGAAGTGAGAATAAAGTGCGTAAGTTCTCGCCTTCAGAGTAGGGCACGCCATGCATGCGTAAATCAAACGCGTTGTTGGCTATATTTTGAGCAGCCAGCTTAGCCTCTACAGTGCCCACTCTCTCTCTCTCATTGCACGCATATCCGCGACCTCCCGGTGCAAGTGTTCAACGCGCGCACAGCTGTTCCCGTTGCGAGCGTTGATCAGCTACCTCCCGCTCCAGGTTGGAGACCCTCACGCCCGTCTGCTTGACCTCACCCGCTATGGGGTGAGGGTACTGAGGATGCGCATTTCAGCTTCCCTTACTAGACCGGAAATTGCTTCGGTCTGCTCCTGAAACCGTATCTTGATGAGCTCCAGCATCTGCGGTGAGGGGGCATCGGAGAGGCGCTCAGCTGCTCCAGTGTCTTTCCGCAGGCATTTGTTGGACGTCGACGTTATCTATTTGTAAGTGTATGAAGTTTTTGCAGTGTAGCGTTTTCGGTGTATTGGAGTAGTGTGTTTCTATCAGTATTAGTGTATTAGTGGTGTGGGCAGCAAAACGACAAAAAACTTTGCAACTTGTTTCCGTGTATTGGAGTAGTGTGATTGTCAGTGTTAGTGTAAAGTGGTGTGGGCAGAAAACGACAAGACTTTGCAGCTAGTTTGCTGTTGGAGACTTGCACACACACACAGGCCCAACGTTGTTTACTGGCGTTATTTAATTTGGCAATAAAGCAAAAAGTTTTGTTTTGAAATGCAGTTGCAGATTATATTTTAATTCAAGAATAGTTTATGTCACGATTAGCACATCAAAAATATTTATTTGTATACTAATTCGCTGCTACAAATTGAATTAGTTCGGAGCACTGTAAAACACGACCGCTCTCTTCCGCTGTTTTTCTTATGTTGCGGCCTATTTTATGGTTTAAAACAGCGATGGGCACGCCGTGACTCAATTTGCTCACGCTGCTCAAACCGTTATCTTTTTTCGGAGGCGCCAGCATGTCGCACAATTGCAGACGCACAAGTGCAGTGCTCGCGATCAGCGAACCGTGAAGATTTACAAAAACAACCACACTGACCTTTGGCGCAGGTAGCGAGGACATCCCCGCGATCCCGAGTTTGCAACAACAAAACACAAGCGACCGAACTCGCACATCGTCCCAAAAACAAGAACAATTTTAAAGGGAACTGTGCGGGTAGCGTTGTCTTCTGCACTAAAGAAAAAAGTTTGGATTTCTTTTGCAGTCGTTTTTCTTAGGCGGACATAAATGCACGTAAAAATGGCTGAAGATATTGATCTACTCAAAAAGTTTTTGTCAGTGTATTTTCTCGGCTCGCACATTCTGTGTGTCGCGTGGGTGCGACGGTTCGCAACGCTGGGGGGTTGTTGTTTTTTTTTTTTTTTAGCGAGCTGCTGCTCAAACCGTTAGATCTCGTGCCCATCGCTGGTTTAAAAAGTTAGTTCCGGCCGCTGGCGGCAGAGGAGGCTCGTGACAAGCACTTATGTTATTAAAAAATATGTAGAGTTACCAAAAGAGTGAACACAAAAATATGCAATCTATAAATAAATAAGGAATAAATATATTCGGATATTTACCAGAAAGGGGGATTTTTCGAGAATATGCTAAAGTTTTCATCTGGGATTGCTGTCGGATTCCGCTTGGAATTCCTCCTGCAATTCCTGGCGAATTCCGCTTGTGATTCCCGGCGGAATTCCTATATTATACCTATTTATTTTGAAATTCCGGTCGGCTTTCAACATTACGAATGTTCTGGGGGAATTCCTATAGAATTTCCTAGGAACTTTCTATGGAATTCCAACGGAACTACCTACGGAGATCCGATGGAAACATGTAAGATAGTTCCTAGACGTTTTTGCCGATCTGGTCTTTATAATAAACCAGTCGTGGAACAGGGTAGTTTTTTATCTCGTTTTTTTTTGTCGCGCCAAAATTTCGTCACCAAATGATTACAAATGCATTAGGCAAAGAAGAGAAGAAAAAACCAAAGCTTAATTCTAATGGGATATGTCCTAAAGCTCTATAAGACTTTATTTACCGCTGATTTCAAAACAGTATATAAATTAGGTTGTATTTGATTTTTGTTTTTAGTTAATGTATTAAAATATGTTAAATAATTTCAAAATCGAATTTCGAACTTCGAATTCCTGACTCATTTCGGGATTTCCGGGCGAAATTTCTTAAGGGGGGATATACATGTAAGCGGTCAAAATTTGGCCATTTTTCGTGAATTTTTTTTTATAAGAAATAGTCAAGCAATCGTCGTGAAACTTTGGATATAGTTAAAAGTAGAATCAGAGATGATAAAAAAAATTAGTTATAAACAATATTTTAGAAAATGGCGGATTTATGGAACATATGCCGTAGCGCCTCGAGCTTTGAGTTGCCGGGCTATGGACACGATAGAGCTCGTAATTCCTGTCCAAAATCCGTAAACTAAATTTTTTTCTATTCATTACACCTGTATCTTCTATTTGAACCTAAAAAACCAAAAAGAAATCAAGACAAAAAAATTAAATTTTGATTTGAAGGAAAACATGCCATTTTGAGGTGATCAGTTTTCACTTCCCACCCTCTTAAAAAATAGTAATACTCAGTTTTATAACAACCATGTAGGTTCAAATAGAAGATAATTTCATGCTGATCATAATAAAATTTGATTCACTCCGATATGTTACGTAGTTTTTTGTGAATCGTGTCCATAGCATAGGTAGAAATGCAAGAATTTAAAGCTGAGAAAAAGACGTTTAAAGTTTTTGATGTGCCCACGGTTACACTTGTGTACCTTGCGTTCATACTTGATTTGAGGTACTTAAAGTTGGAATTCGATGATGAAACTTACACAGTATATTCTTTAAGTAATAAACTATTTTTTAAACAAAAAAAAAATTTCCCAAAAAAATTTTGGTTTACATGTATATCCCCCCTTAAATCCGGGGGAATTTCGGAGGTTTCGTACTGAAGGGTACATATGTACATACATTAATATTAATAATGTTGTATGTTCACAAATCTAGCAATTCAACACTTTCACAACACTGCATCACACCAAAAATATGTCGCTGCAGTCCAAATACCTATTCCGAGTAATGTCGATGTTGCTGAGGATAGCCGTTTCTCGCCCCAGCGCGCACGGGACCAAATGTCCACAGTGATCCTGGCACAGGGGCCTATGTCAACTATCGACATCACCATCGACAACAGCTGGAAAAACGCTGTTAGCGGCACTATTGCTGAACAGGATCCCCATGTGCAATCCTATGACTGTTTTGGGTCAATCAGCCTAAACTCGGTGATGCAAAGCAATGTACCGTCCCCATTTGAGGGCTTAAATAAATTTTCGCATCTGAACATGCCCGGCGGCCAGTGGTCACAGCAATATAAGTTTACATCTCAAAATATGCAGAATTCTCACTACAGAGTCCTACGCAACAGTACTCGAGCCGATTGGGTCACCTACGATCCGAATTTCACTATCGAAAGAAATGGCAAAGGTAAGCAACTTGCGAAACTCTTATGTAAACAAAAGCACCCCATAACAAAAAAACAGCAAGAAAGGAAGATAACTTCGGCACGCCGAAGTTTGTATACCCTCGCAGCTTGCAATTGGATCGTTAAGAATCGATCCACTCTGGCCAAACTTATAGAAAAAAAGGATATATAAAAGTTGTATGTTTATACATATACAGGCCTGTTCTAATTTCCACTTCCGCAAAATTTATTCGGATTTGGATTTCCCTGACCTGTTCTAGTATTCACTTCCGAAAAATTCTTACGGATTCGTATTTCCCTCTGTTAAGTCTCTGTTAATTTGCAGGAGAAACACACGGAAACTTTCCGTGTGCCATTTAGCCGGCGGATTCAAATCCGCAAAATCAGAAATTAATTATTTTAAAATACAATGCGATTATGTATATTACAAATGTTAATTGTAATCTATTCCTTGAAGTTTTGGGAACATTATTGCATAATTGAATTAGCTAATACTAACTTACTTAATTTATAAATAATTATTTTGTGGGTGCACCTTAAAATCGGTTCGATTCTAACCTTCAACATTATTGCAAATCCGCTGCCGCTGTGTCGTATTTGAGAGGGACCATTTAAGGGTTGTCAGCGTTTCAAAAAAAACGGCATATATTTAAGATTAATTTCGAACAATTACTTTTTATGTTGTTTTACAACTAAAATATCTGCTATTAGGTAAAGTATATGAAAAAGTGTTTTTGTTTAAAATACCAGCCAATTCAATCTACAAACTGAACTAAATTTTATGCGAAGGGAATTTTTTCTAAACCCTCGGCAACTCTACTTTCGAGCATTTTGCCACCAGAACAGCTGATTGCAGTTACAAATATTTCAAAATGTTTATTTCCTGTCTTAATGCTTATTCCTTAGATTTTATTATTTAAATTAGTGCTTCATTACTATATATGAGTTGGAGACTACAGCGGGCCAAAATTTGATCAGCCCCTTTTAGCAAATCTTAGACAAGGGAATCTCTTTTGTTGAAGGCGACCAGCTGATTTTGTTTGGGAATTTAAGGGAAATTAAAAAAAAATGTCCTTAAATCACCAAGGGAAATTCGCTTATGTTAAAGGGAAATCCGCAAATGTTATCAAATTCTCTTCCGAGTGGAAACTAGAACAGGCCTGATAATACTTTAAAAAAATACTTTGAAAAACATCCAAGTTATAATTTTCATAAAATTAAAGTCGAAATTCTGGAATATTAAAAAATGACCATATCTCAAAAATATATTGCAAAAAAGTCAAGTTATAATTTTTTACTAAAAATTTGTCGATCAATTGTATGGAACGAAGCCAGCGGTAGGCTTTCAATGACCCCTATGTTACATAATCCTTATATACTTCTTTAGTTCGTCCTTTCTTAGAATACTGATCTGGCGTTTGGAAACCTCACTATGTCCATAGTCAATATTAAATTGGTCAAAAATACCTTTCTACTTTTCGCTATAGGTGCCGTAAACTGGGATGCAAACCAGAGGTTACCTTACCGTCCTATTCTAGTAAACTCCTTCTAATGAACTTACCTTCCTTAGGCCATAGAACCATATATGTATATTTAAACCTAAACTATGGTGACGTGGTATAGAGTTGCGCCACTGTAAAACTTCCTTTGAATTGCATGAACATTTTATAGCCTTTTGTGCAATTATAACGAGTTGTGCACAATAACCTTAAAAGTAGATAGCCTCCTAAACTAAAATCTTTCTCTAACCCACTTAGTTCGCTTGCTAGGAAACAATCAGGCTGCACATCAGTAGGTCATTTCCCTGTATTTTTTTTCTTTATATTCTATTGACGCGCCTACTAATTTGGTGTCAGAAGAGCAAATTAAGTGTAATGATCGTAGAGCAATACCGTCCATAAAAAGTATAAGAGCTCGTAAAATGGGGTCAATAATTTTTTATATAAGCCATTTTGTATTTTTTAAATTAAATTAACACAACAACTAACTTAACTACGAATGAAGTCTAACTATTTACAAAGTATTTATAATTGCAGACTAAAGTAGATTTCCACTGTTTGTGGGTGCTTGATATTTTTTTAAAGTGACCCCTCGTTTAACTAGTTTTTCTGCTTTTTTGATTTTAATAATTTGATTGTTTATTCCCTCTTTTACCATCGGCTCTATTTGATTTAAGATAAGTTCACCTTTTGATGCTTTATTTTGGAATAATGTTTTTCCCTCCTAAAGAGTGGATTGGTATATGGTCCAGGAATGAATATGGTGGGACTCTTTGACCATACCTTTATCCTCCTGATAACTCTGTAAAACAGCTGAATCCAATTGCGTCCTACATGGTGTGACGATGTCACCAACTCATGGATGTAAATATTATATGTAAATAGTAGAATAAGTGTAGATTTAAGGTAGATAAGCTTAGGTTACATAAACACGGCACGAAGCCACCATATACACACACACACTCATCCACGGGCCTCTGTGATACAGTATACGTACGAACTTGAGTTTTAATCGTGCTCCGCAAGTTTATCCTTTTAAGCCGGTTAAAAGCGTTAAGTATCCTGGAAATGGTACAGAAGTGCAGTGTGAGATTCCCGGGGATATAGGTACGTACCCGGATCGTTCCTGGTTTCAAATTCAATAGGCCTCAGACGCCCAAAAAATCTCGGCAACTAAAACGCCACAGGAACTTGGAGGTAAGGGGAGGGGAGAACTCTCTTCCCTGTTAACGCCTTCCACTTTCCCTTTTTACAGTTTCCCCCGCGTTTTTTTTTTGGCACGTAAACGCAGCTGATCCGAGTTTTGTGCAACGTAAACGCAGGAGCTTTTACAGCTGCGCTTAACAGCACGACATTGTTAGTGTTGAAAAGTGCTCGCGGCCAAGTTTTCCCACCTTATCTCAATTTGAATTGAAGTTATTAATTAATAAACTAATTAATTAAATTTTCTCCGAACGCCGTGTAAGGTCTCGCAGTTGGAGGCGGAAAAAGGTCACGGAATCGACTAAGCTCTATACCCCCGCTTAGGCGGTGTCCCGAACAAGGGACATCGGAAACCGAGTAGGGGCGGTATATCCCCCGTCGTAGAGCCTGGTTGAAATTCTTAGCAGCGTGGGAGCCCTGAGCTAGCCGAAAAGTCAGCCATGGAGGAGGGAAACTCCTTCATGGGCGAAACAGCAATTGCGAGGTCGCCATATCGTTATGGAGCATCTCATTTGCAAATGTCCGGCCCTAATGAGGGCAAGAATAAGATACCTAGGCACTCCAGTTCTTGCATCGCTAGAAGATGCCTCCAGGAGGAAGCCGCATAAATAGTCTCTAGGTCCATCCAGGAAATATTCCCGGATAGCTATGGGCCAAATTGGCCTATGTGTGGCCCCTCGAGGGCCGTTCGGACTAACCTAACCTAACGTAACCTAAATTGCCGGATTGATTGCTTGCATGAGTACTACGTGGGTTAAAAATAACGTTTTTAGTTTAGAAAAGTTACCTACATTAAATGTTGTGGTGTACAAATCATTGTAATATGCACAAAGAACTCAAAAGGGTTTATCCATTTCAAAGGATGTTCTACAGTAGGGTAAAACTAATGGTATAAAGGATCTAGTGTTTCTACTTGATACACGAAGAATAAGCTGACCCAACAAGTCAGCACTTTCCAACTAGATTAGATAAAGAGGGTAAGTTAATTAGTAGGCGTCGGTAGCCCCTATTTTGCATCCCAGTTTAAACCGCGTAAAGTGAAAAGTAAGAAGTTCCTTTGAACCGATTCTATGCGATTACTGTTGACGCCATACTGAGGGCTCCAAACGCAAGATCCTTATATTAAGATAGGACGAACAAGTGTAATATATAAAGATTTTTTAACATAGAGATCATTCAATTCCTTCGACCACCATTTAATGAAACCAAGCACACACCTGACTTTATTCACCATGCACGAAATATGATCGATTAAGTCGATTTTATGGTTCAGACGGACATCCAATCGTCAACTATATTAATTTTTTTCAAAGAGCAGCAGTTCAGCGTATAAGTTGCAGGTTTAGGAACGACACGGGAGAATGTCATTAGCTTGCATTTAGAGTCATTTGAAAGTTTTTCTTTTTAATTTGAATATGAGTTAATGAGTGTACCTTACATTAAAAAAAAACATGACCATTGGTTATGTAGTTTTTGTGTAAATATACCTGAAAGTCGACTAATTTACTTATTTGTATATCCTTGCAGGGTATTATAAATTCAGTCAGAAGTTTGCAACGCTGTGAAGAAGATCTTTCCGACTCCATAAAGTATATATATTCTTGATCAGCATCAACAGCCGAGTCGATCTGGCCATGCCCGTCCGTCCGTCCATCTGTCCGTTTCTACGCAAACTAGTCCCTCAGTTTTAAAGCTATCTGAATGAAACTTTTCACATAGTCTTCTATATACTCTCACTGCTATATATGTCGGAACGGGCCGGATCGAACGACTATATCATATAGCTGCCATACAAATGTTCGATAAATTTTTAGAATTATAACTTGGCTGTTTTTCAACATTTTCGCATCATTTTTAAGATATGGCCATTTTATATTATTTTTGACTTTTGGTATAAATTTTATGAAAATCGGACAACTTTATCTTATAGCTGCCATAGGAACGAAATTAATAGGGGAATTAATAGGAAAAAAAATTATAGCTTCGATGTTTTTCAGCGTATTTTCATCTACTCTGAGATATGAGCTTTTTTATTATCTTAGAATTTAGAAATTTTATGAAAATCGGACAACTATATCATACAGCTGCCATAGAAACGATCGCTAGATGTAGAGAAAATGTAAGGCAGGTATATAAAACTGTAACTGTCAAATGTAAAATGTTATGAAACTCTGTTTTGTGTGTTTTCAGCATTTAAATTTTTAATATAAATATCAAAACCAATCTGCAAAGGTATACAAACTTTGGCGTGCCGAAATTAGCTTCCTTTCTTGTTTGTTGTATAATGCATACACGGAAAACAATTTCGACTTTGAATGCTCATATTTTCCACAAAAAAAATGTAAAAAGTTTTTGGTTACAGATTCGGAATCCCTGGGAAATTCTCTGTCGAATTTGTATTGTTAAAAACGATTTTGCGATTATGAATTTTCCTATTTTTGCAACGGCTTTTGTTCGAGAGGCGCTACTGTGCGTCGTGTGTAAATTCAATCTTTGGTTCAGCTTTATTGGGCTGCACACATGGAACTAAATTGAAGCTTAAGCAGAAAGCTCATCCAGCAGCGGCGGTACAATGGGCCACGTACCTAAACAGTGAACATGACTTTTCCTATTTTTGCAACGCTATTTGTTGGCGAGGAAAAGAAGAAAAGGAAATGCAAAAAAAAAAAAAAAAAAAGAAAAGTAAGTGATTTAAAGCAGTTTATATTGAATAAGTAGTTAAAACTAAACAAGTGGATTGGTGTAGTAGATTGGTCTAATCATTATTTACACATTGCCTTACCGTATTTTTAATTAAATACACCCCTTTTAATTAAACATACGGTGAGGCAATACGTAAATAATGATTAGACCAATCTACTACACCAATCCACTTGTTTAGAGGCTTACGTTCAGTATTATCAAAATAAGGAGACTGTTTTGGGAGCTGCCAAAATTGCACTTTTTAAATACTTTTGAGGGCCCAAATTTCCCATTCCCATTTTTATTTAATTTTTTCTTTATCTTTGCAGCGAAATAAACATTCAGCTTGGTCTGAAAAATTTGCCCCTTCGACGAAGAAACTACCCACAGGAAAGAAAGTCTGCACTTGCTAACTAGGCATCCAAAAGCCAAAACTCTAGGCAAATATAAAATTGTACACACATATATCAGAACGGAGCAGGTTGGAAAAGTAGGGCAACAATAAAAAAAAAAAATAAATCGGAAAAATTAAAATTTACATTAGCTCGTCTTTGTGAACATCTTCGAATATTTTCTATTATAAAGATAATATTTAAGATTTTAAAATATTTGTATTTTTTTGTTAAATCTGACGGCATTATTATATGGAACCATTGGATCGATCGGTAAATGTATAATAATATTAAATGGTATAGGTAAATGTAAATAGAATCGACTTTACTTCCATGTTTTTCAACACATTAACGCTGTGATGATATTTTTTTACAATTTCATAAGTAAGCTAGCTTCGGCGTACCTATTTAATTGGCAGTGCCGTAGCAATTCTGTTTTGCGTGGAGGGTGTGAGGTGAAAATGGTTAAAAACCATGGTTCAAAATGATAAACGAATTGTGAAATATACAAAAACATCTCTTCATTCTTCTTCTTCTTCATTCTTTTATAATTCATTAATTTGTTTCCCTTCTGGCTATTTCCAACTTCGATTTCATATATGAGAAAAATGTGAGCTGCGGCGGAAAACTCGTTGTTGGGGGCGGCGCTTCCTTTCTTCGGAAAAAAGTGGTGGTTCAGAGAGTGGAAAATTCCCACGGCGCAAGCGAAGTATTGGCGAAGTAGAAATAAAAAGCGGGGGCGTCGTGGGTGAATTCAAGCGTAGTCGATCAGCTTTATTTCGCTGCATACATGGAACTGATTTTTTTATACCCTTGCAGGGTATTATAATTTCAGTCAGAAGTTTGCAACGCAGTGAAGGAGACGTTTCCGACCCTATAAAGTATATATATTCTTGATCAGCATCAACAGCCGAGTCGATCTAGCTATGTCCGTCTGTCCGTCTGTCTGTCTGTCTGTCTGTCTGTCTGTCTGTTTCTACGCAAACTAGTCCCTCAGTTTTAAAGCTTTCTGAATGAAACTTTGCATATAGTCTTCTATATGCTCTCACTGCTATATATGTCGGAACGGGCCGGATCGGACGACTATATCATATAGCTGCCATACAAATGTTCGATAAATTTTTAGAAAAAAAATTATAACTTTGCTGTTTTTTAACATTTTTGCACAATTTTTTAGATATGGCCATTTTATATTATTTCAGAATTTTGGTAAAAATTTTATGAAAATCGGACGACTATATCTTATAGCTGCCATAGAAACGATAGGGAAATTAATAGGAAACAAATTATAACTTCGTTGTTTTTCAACGTATTTTCATCTACTTTGAGATTTAAGCTTACTTTATTATTCTAGAATTTTGGTATAAATTTCATAAAAATCGGACAACTATATCATATAGCTGCCATAGCAGCGATCGATAGATGTAGAGAAAAAGTAAAGCTGGGAATGCAAAACTGTAATTGTCAAACTGTAAACATAATAATATAGGTAAAATGTAATGAAATAATATCTGCAAGGGTATACAAACTTCGGCGTGTCGAAGTTAGCTTCCTTTCTTGTTCTTAAGCATAAGAACGAGCTCCCGCCCGCTTTACTTCGCTAAGCGAGAGCGGCAGCGGCCGATCGGAGTAGTCGGTAACGAAGCCCGAAGCCCGCGCTCGAGAGTGCGAAAGCGCTTAGCGCTGCGGGAGAGCGAGCGCGGGAGAGCAAGAGGGGCGAGAGCGGAAAGCTCAGCCAGCAGCGGCGGTACGATGGGCCGCATACCTAAACATTCCGCCCCCCTTGCAATCACTCGGGTTGCAACAGGTCCGTTGCATTACGGCTGGTGACAGGCGCCGGACACGACCCAGCCGAAGACGGTGCTCTGGGCCACCGGGAGTCCGTCCTGGATGTTTAGGAACCCCGGCTGTATCACACGCGGATACATGTCGGCGCCCAGGACCATGGAGATCGTCGCGGGTAGATAAAAACGGCTAACGTAATGTCCCGGAAGTGGTCCCGAACCGCCTCGCTCAGCTCCCGGACTGGAGTACGAATCCGCACGTAAGGCTCGATCTTGAAAATGACGTCGTGGAGGACCTTGTTATCGGCCTTGGAGCCGGCGGTGGCCGAACAAATCTGCTCACAGCCAACGCTGGTAGTTGGCAGACGGAAACACGTCGCTAGCGGGGCGTCGATGCAGCTGCCGCAGGTCGATGAGTGCCGCCGTGTCGAAACTCCGAGTCCCGGTGTTGATACGCACCACAGCTGTCGGCAGGATATTTACGCTGTGCCGCTGGAGTAGCGACGATAGCGATGGAGCGGCGACCGCGGAGCGTGCCGAGAAGGGCCAAGGAGCGGCGGACGAGGGCCGAGGAGCAGCTGGAGAATGCCGTGGAGTGACGAACGAGGGCCGAGGAGCGGTTGATGACCGCCGTTAGGTGCAGCAACGTGTGGTGGTCTTGGCCGCACGTTTGGCAGCAATCACCTCGCTGGCACCTTCCGTCGGAGTGTTCGTGGGCCAAGCAGTTGGGACAGTACCGGTTGGCGAGGACGGCCCGGAGTCTCTTCTCGGCACTCAGTCGGAGAAATACGCGACATTTCTTGAGCGGATGGATCTTGTTGCAGACTCGGCATCGGTAGGAATTGGAACCTCGAGTACATCTGCGCTCCAGTGCGATGGCGCTGCGTGGATGTGGAGACATGCTGTTTGCTATTACTGGCGGAATAGGACGGAGATAAAAAAAATCGGAATTAGTAATAGAAACCTAGCGATTTGGAACACGGAATAGAGCTACGACACCACAGTGACATAAAACATCGGAGTGACAGACGACTGGTTATTGCGGGCAGACGGGCGCTTCCATCGGGAGACGGACGACTTTCGCTATGATCGATAGTGTGCGAACTTGAAATATGGAAGTGCCCGATGCAGCGAACGGGGTGCATGCCCTGGATGGTCATGCTTATGCAGGAGTGTGTGGTGGTGCTGGTTGCACGTCTTGCATTGGTCACCACTGCGGCAGGTTCCCTCAGAATGTTCGTGGGCCAAACAGTTTGAACAATAGCGGTTGTCGAGAACCGCACGGAGCCTCTTATCAGCGCTGAGTTTGCGGAACTGTTGGCATTTCCGGAGCGGGTGGAATCCGTTGCAGATTCGGCAACGGTAGGACTGCGTGCTTTGGGTACGTCTGCTTTCCAAGACAGCCGCACTGCGAATGGGAAGGAATTTGTCCCCCGAGCGGTTTGTCGGGATGGAAATTCGTGTCGAGAACACAGACACGCCGCTCGTGGCCTCTGTAGACACTGGGCCTGAGAGTACCGATCCGAAAATCGTCTCTTGCGCGAGGAGAGAGCCGAAAATGTTATTCTTGGAGCCGCCTAGAAGCACGGACGGAAGAATGTCAGCTCCAATCAGGACGTCGATTTCGGAGCTATCGAAGAACGTTGGATCAGCAAGCGGGACGTCAGGTAGTTCTTTCAGTAGGTCTCGTGGAATCGGATACGAGGGTGGCTACCCGGCTAAATGCGGAAGAACATAAGCTGCAGTTTCCAGCTGCAGCCCGGGTCTGGAAGGCGCTCGGATGGCGATAGTGCAGAGCTTGGTGGATTGGGCGGCAACTGTCTCATTGAGCCCGGAAACTCGGGTCTGAACTGGTTTAAAAGGTGGGCTTATTCGACTGAATAACCTCTCGGTGATGAAGGTTGCCTCGGAACCAGAGTCGATTAAGGCTCGAGCTTGGAAATCGCGGCCTAAATGGCAGATGTTAATGAGGGCTGTGCCCAGTAGAACGGCTCTTGAGCCGGAAGCGAAGCACACTTGCACATCAGTGTGATCTTGAGAGGCGCCCGTGCTTCGTGGAGTAGGCGCCGGTCGAGGCCTGGGTGGCGCCGTCGGACTTGGTGCGGTCGCGGAGGGATTATCGCGGTGCAGAAGGGTGTGATGACGACTGCGGCACATAAAGCAGCTATGGGCACTAGTGCAATCCTGTTGCTGGTGCCCTCTTGCAAAGCAGTTCAGGCAAAACTGCTTTCTCCTAATGTAGTCGGAGCGACCATCTACATCCATTTCAAGGAAACGGGGACATAGGCGAATAGGATGGTTCTCCCTCAAACAGAGATCACGCCCTCTTGGGGCCGGAGCCACTCTGGCCTCGTAGGAATTCAGCCTTCGCACTGGGGCGCTCGCAGCTGTCGGTCTTGACGGAAACTGCCCTGAACTGCTAGGCCTGATGTCGTCAATAGCTTCTAGAGTACGATGACGCTCTGTCAGAAACGCGTCTAACTCACTCCATGTAGGGATTTCTGCATTATTGTGTATGGATTGCTCCCACATCGAAAGTGTGATCTTGGGAAGCTTTAAGGAAACCATATACAATAGTAGACAATCCCACGCCTCGGTTTGAATAGAGGACATCTCTAAGGCTGTCAGGCAACTTTGGACGGTGCTTTGCAGTTCTTTTAGAGCGGCTCCGGACTCTTGGGGGACAGCCTGAATGTTGAAGAGGATTTTCAACTGGCTGTTGACGAGTAATCGCCGATTCTCGAAGCGGTCGATGAGGCTTTGCCACGCAGAGATGAACCCTTCATTGGTCAGAGGGGCTTTGGATACGATGGCGTGCGCATCG